TGATTAATTTGATGCTAAAAGAACCAAATCAGATTGGTTGGAATTGAATTTTTTGAATAAAGTGAAGATTTATTTTAAATTCAAGTTATTTTTTAGTAAAAATTAAGTTAAAACTTACCGACGTCCAATTATATTCAAATATGCTTCGTTTCAATGTAAACGTAAATTAATTTATACTGGAAAAGTAATAAAATGTTTCTGAGTGAGTTTTTTTTGTTGAGTTCTACAAAAATAAAATAAAAATTTTTTTTAGAAAGAAAATATATATAAGAAAATATATATTAGAAAGTTTAACAATTTTTGTGAAAAACAATTAGCTCAGTTTCAACATAAGCTTTTATTTACTGTCGTTAATGACTATGTCGTTTTATTATTAGCAGATCGAATGAACTCTCTCTCTCTAATAGGAGCAAAGAAAAAATTAGTTGCTAATATTTGCCAACTTGGCTGAAATATTATTTTCATAATGCGTACCAATTTTATGGTGAACATTTTTTAATGCTTTTTCTCATTGCAACGACTGCATTATTAATAAATTTTATTGAAAAAAAAACTGCTTCATTTGTATTAAAAAGTCATTAATACAAAATGTATAATAAATTTTCATATGAATATTCGTTGTTAACGTTTACTTTATTCAGATAAACATAACACAGTTTTTATATTAACTTTATCTAAATCTTATTGCATTTATTATTTATTTAAGCAAAGTCTAGTTCCTTGGACACTTTAACAAAAAAAAAAAAAAAAAAAAAAAAAAAAAAAAAAAAAAAACTTAAAAGTTACTCTTGAAAATGCTTTATTTTTTCCTTTTTTTATCGCGAGGTTTTATTTTCATCCCACTGTGCGCCGATGGTTTTCAAATAAATTTATAGTTTAAAATAATCTGATATCCTAAAAAGTTATTATACTGTTAATTTTATTTAATTATTCTATTACTTTATAATAATTTGTGCATATTACATAAACATTATTAGAATTCAGAATTAACTACTGTTACGTTAGAGTCTCCATCTTTTGAGAGATACTCTTACTGAACTTTATATTGAAAAACATTGAATTAAAACATTAATTACGAAAGAAATAAAAAATTAATTTTAATTAAAAAATTAATTTAAAGAAATTTTTTAAATTAAATACTGGTAAATTTAAAAAAAATCGAAAATGAATATAAAATTTCTGAGGAAAAACTGAAAACCCACTCTTTAATATTACAACTATTTTGAAATGTACGACGCAAAGTGTCTTAAAATAACTTCAAAATATGTTTTATTTGTTTATTCGCTGATCTCCTTCTCAACTTTTCGCTTGTGAACAGATTTATTTACGAAAGACAAGTTGGAGGGAAGCCTATGAAATGGAAAGATCAACGGAAGCCATGGAAAGCTCGAATCGATATAACAAGAATTGATTTTTCCCTAAAACCCGACAATAAGGGAACTTATTTCTCCTTTTAGGGATTTTTCTGGCTGCTATAAATGCTGCAGAAATTTTCTAATTATAGACTTGTCAAGAAAAATGCTAGATTTTAATGAAATTAAAGAAGTCAGTCTCAAACTTATGCATTCTTTGAAACTTCTAATAGAGCTCTGTTGGAGACGAATGACGCAAATTTAGTTCATCACATTAGAACATTTTTGAATCTACGTCTGTTAGAGCTATTGAAAAAATACATAATTGCAAAAGCTTAACTTACTTTTAGAAGTTAATAATAATTTCTTATTCTATTCACCATTCTTAATAGTTCCCTAGACCCAAATGATCGCCGAGAGAATCTCTTAGAAATAAGATGTTAATAAATTTGAGGGCGTGAGTTTGAGATAATGATATCTAGCTTTTTTCTTTTAATAGGTTCATAAGTTTCAATATTTTATACAAATATAATATTTTTGTACTATATTCTGTATTTAGCTTATTTTAAAATTTATTTTAAAGATATTCAAATTAATTCTATTCATCATTTGTAATAGTTTCCTAAAACCAGATTATGACCTAAAGAATCTTTTAGAAAGAAGACGTTTATGAATTTCAGAGAGTGAGTTTGAGATATAGATATCTACCTATTTGCTTTCATTGGTTTTATGAGGTTCAATATTTTATACAAATATAATAATTTTGTAATATATCTTACCTTTATCTTTTTAAAAAAGTTAATTCTAAACATATTCAAATGAATTCTATTTATCATTTGTAATAGTTTCCTAGACCCAGATTATCACCTAAAGAATCTTTTAGAACTAAGATGTTTATAAATATGAGAGTGTGACTTTTAGATATCGATATCTTTTCTCTTAATGGTTTCATACAATTCTAAAATTTTTACAAGTACAATTTGTGAAATTTATTACTTCAACCAATTTCGTTGTAATATGAAATGTAATTTTAATAAAACATACATACCCTAATAAAGTACATATAAGTTGAAATTAATATTTACTTAATAACAATATTAATATTATTCGAAAATCCGGTAAAATGTTTAATACCGTGAAGTTCATTTATTGGATATTCTTTAATGTATCTGCAACTGATAGAAATAATTTGATATTTACGATAAAGTATATATCCTATAAATGGTGACGCAAAATTGTAGTGGTACAGACAGCGTTCGTACAATTCTTATAAAAATTAAAAAGTGGTAGCAAAATTTGGAAAAATGAAAATTGCGTAAGTATGCTCTTATTCGCCACAATTTTTAATATCTCCAAAGCGAAATTTTAATTTTAAAGTGAAAGCTAAAAAAAAGAAAAATTCTTGTATTATTGATTAGAATTTAACACCACTTTTTAAATTTTTTAAGGATCGTACGTGCGCTTTAAGGCGAAAATATATTCATGTTTTAATAATAGTATGTATTATCATAGTTATCAACTTGGTAGGTCTAATATTTAAAAAAAAATTGGCCAAATATTTAAAATGGTGGTGAAATAGTATTTAATAAATCTAGTAGCATTTGTTTAATTTCGTCAACACTTAAGCTTCTCCACATAATTAGTAGGTCATGATAATTATTAGTATTAGTAGGTTTAAACTGTTAATATGTTGTTGTAGTCAAAACCATGTAAATAAAATTTAAAAAAAAGATGCATAGTAAGGTTTAATTTATGACTTAAAATTTATGACACACCCAATCTTAAATACCGAAAAAAAAGAAATGAGAAATAACGATGTATTCAGCTCTATGAGTGAAATAAAGCGAAATTTATGGTTAGTGAATACAGATACTTAAAGAAGGTTTTTGCTATAAAGCATATAAAAAGGGCTAAATAAACCAGAACTTTTTTCGAAAACAAAAACAGTAGTAACTTAATTGTTTCCTTCTTAAAAATCTAACATAAACAAGATATTTATGTTCACCATCATTTCTTATCAGTATTCAACTGTGGTTTTCCATAAAACTGAACAAGGTAGCCAACATTAGAAAAGTTTAACTTTGTTTAGATGTAAATGCATTTTTATTAAAGTACTTTACAGACAGTGAAAACAACCCAGCTTCAGATCGTTGGGTACCAGATTCTTTATAAAGGCACCCTGCGCGCCACACTCATGTAATTAATCTCAAAATTATGCAGCTTTAACCTCTATGAACCTTTGGCCATAACGGGTTGTTGCAGGAATGTTTTCCAACTTTTCACTTCATTATAATCATTGCGTTTTTCCAACACTGATCTTCAAGGTGTCAAAGAAAAGAAATATTTATATAATCAATTAATGAGGGTCTGTGCTGAATTTTAAATTTCATGAAAATATCTTACGTTCATTTACTCATATTACCAATAAATATAAACATGATTTTTATGCTTTTGAAGGAAATATACGTAACGTAGCTCAATATGCGTATGGAAGAAATTAGACATAGCTCATATTGCGTGTTAACGAAAATATAAATAGCTCAGAATGCGTTTTTAAAAAAATGTACTTAGTTCAAATTGCGTGTTTAAGAAAATGTACGTAGCTCTAATTGAGTGTTTAAGAAAATAGATATAGCTCAGAATGCTCTTTTAAAAAAATGTACTTGGATCAAAAAGCTTGCTTAAGAAAATATATATAGCTCAGATTGCGTGTTTATGAAAATGACATGGCTTAAATTGCATGTTTAAAAAATTAAGGCAAAAAAAACTTGTTTTAGAAAATATACATGCCTTAGAATAAATGTTTCAGAAAATGTACATAGCTCGAAATGCGTGTTTATAAAAATGCGTGTTAAAGAAAATATACATAGCTCAGTATGTGATATAACTCAGAAAGAAAATATACATGCGTATTTAAGAAAATGTACTTAGTTCAAATTGCGCGTTTAAGAAAATGTTCGGAGCTCAAATTGTGCGTTTAAGAAATTTAAATAGCTCAAATTACGTGTTTAAAAAAGTGGACATAGCTTGAAATCCACGTTTGAAAGAAAGGAGCATAGTTACGTAATTTTTTTAAAGTTTAACTGTGATATTATAAGATAAAACGTTACTCTTAGTTTTGCCTAATTGTTTTGACACTAAAAATTATGATCATGTACCATGTATTTTATAAAATGCATGGTACAGGAAACTTTACCCATGAAAAAAACTTAAAAACTTTAAAAACCTTTTAAAGTTTGTTTTTTAATTAATTTTTTTTAAAAATTTACTCATGTTAAAAGACCTAAAAAGAATTGTGAACATTTCTTGCATAAAGACTTAAATTAAAAGTACATACGAAGTGATTTATTTGGATTCATACTTATTTTTTTACCAATACGATAGTTTTATTGTTTATAAGAGTCATTACCAAAAACGAGATCAAATATTTACATTTTGACCATTCTTCATTATAGCTTTTGCCCCCTTTTTTAAACGCGCATTTTGACCAATGTTAATTTTTGAATAGTTACTTCTCAGAAAGGAGAACGTGGTTATTTTAGAATTATTTTTTAAAATTTGAGACTTAAATCATCTATGATAATTTCAAAACGAACTTTCTTACTTTTTCCCTAGAGGAGAATCATTTAGGGAAAAAAAAGGGGAAAATTTCCCTCCTCTCCTCTGATCCAGAAAAGGGATTCGGAAGAGGTAGGAAAGGATGCTGTTTAATAATCAACGCGCTTTACATTCTCCCATCCGAACGGCAACTGTCCATCCCCGAGGAAAAGACAAACTCCCAAACATGTCGGAAGATGACACAGTCTTAAACAATGGCTGCGAAAAGGTCAGCGTTACAGATTCCACACCAGAAAATCCCATGAAACCACCGATCTCAAGACGTAAGCAACATAAGAAGCTAGTCCGATTATTGACCGTTATGGCTTACGTATTCTCCGTATCTCTGGGAGCAATTGTCTTGTCTTTGTACTATGTTTTTCTATGGGATCCACAAATACAGAGAGACGGTAAGAAACTGACCTCCATGCCTAATCCGCAACATCTGAAGTCACCAGAGAGTGGTCACTACGAAGAAGTCACAAATCTTTCCTGGACGGCAACAACGACTGGGTCACCTGTAACTACGGCGACAATCAGAGGAAAATGGTGAAAGTCATACTTAGAGAGCATCGATACTTTTCCTTAAAAAGAAGTAAGGTTTTATTTTAATATTTGCACCCCCTTTAATTTTAAAAGAAATATAAGTTATATGTTTCCGCTTTATTGTTTAAAAATTAGTGATTCTACAGACTTAGAAAGCATCGATACTTTTCCTTAGAAAGGAGTAAAGTTTTATTTCAATATTAGCACCTTCTTTAATTTTGAAATACATATAATTGATACGTTACCGCTATAGCGTGAAAATCGGTGATTTTACATATCTTAGAGAACATAGATACTTTTCCTTAAAAGGGAGTAAGGTTTTATTTTAATATTTGCACCTTCTTTGATTTTTAAAGATATATAATTCATGTGTTTCCACTATAGTGTACACATCAGTGATTCTACCATTGTTAGAAAACATCAATACTTTACCTTAAAAGGAGTAAAGTTTTAATTTGATATTTTCACCTTCTTCAATTTTGAAATATATATAATTGATACGTTACCGCTATAGTGTAAAAATCAGTGATTCAACATATCTTAGAGAGCATCGATACTTTTCCTTTAAAAGAAGTAAGGTTTTATTTTAATATTTGCACCTCCTTTAATTTTTAAAGATACATAATTTATGTGTTTCCGCTATAGTTTGAAAATGAGTGATTCTACAGATCTTAGAAAGCATCAATACTTTTCCTTAAAAAGGAGTAAAGTTTTAATTTAATATTTTCTCCTTCTTTAATTTTGAAATGTATGTAATTGATAAGTTACCGCTATAGTGTAATAATCAGTGATTTTACAGATCTTAGAGAGCATAGATACTTTTCCTAAAAAAGGAGTAAGGTTTTATTTTAACATTTGCACCTCCTTTAATTTTTAAAGATATATAATTCATATGTTTTCGCTTAAGTGTAAGCATCAGTGATTCTACAAATCTAAGAAAACATCGATACTTTTCCTTAAAAAGAAGTAAGGTTTTATTTTAATATTTGCACCTCCTTTAATTTCGAAATATATATAATTCATATGTTACTGTTATAGTGCAAAAATCAATTATTCAACAGATTATCAAGCCAATGTGCAAATTAACTAAGGGTGATTCGTAAAAGTGTCATTTCATTTCTTAAATTACGGTTTGCAAAGTACCTAAATAATTTGCAATAATATCTAATAATCATTCGTTAATCTGAAAATAAGATCCTTGCTGGAACAGCAACGTTTCGGCACGCTAAATTATTCTAATGTTAAAGCAAAAATCCACGGGAATGAAGTACAAGTGAATGTGCTTTAGTCTACTTAGCACTAAGCTTTATCCTTTCTTTTGTTAGATATTATATTGTTATTTATTTATTTATTTATTCATTTTTTTCCCGCTATCTCAAAAATCAAGTTATTACAATCAGACAAACAAATTAGTTGATAGAAAGAACAAAAAAACTTATGAACTTCAACGATACGGAACGAGCACATTACCTAGATAAAATGCGGAAAACTCTTGTTTCCGCACTTAAACGGAGTAAATTAGTTAATCTGCAGATAAGCTAGGAACTAGGCAATGTGCTAGTTAACTGCTTCCGAGCTATAGCTGTAACTTACGAGTGTTTTGAAAATTTAAAGACCAAGTGGTCATAGTATCCTTTCAGAGAATCAATTTTTTTTTTTAATGTAAAAAGTGGTAACTTGAGAGCTACAGTTTTAACATCAATTTAACCGAGACAAGATAGTTCAGACGACGATAATTTAATAAGAGCATGAATCTTTAGATATTTAGGTCTGAAATCGAGGCCTCGAGCTTTTTAATGCTTTATTATTTGGTAACAGAATATCACTTATTATTAACATATATGTATACAAACACTTCTTTTCTTAAAGGCATTTTCTTTATTACTATTATCTTTGTTGTCGAACAATAATGATTTAAAATTCGCATTTAAGAAAATTTTGGTTTAAGAAAAAATGAAAATATATGTAAAATTGTTTTGAATTATTCATATTATATGTTGAATTATTTGCTATTCATTATTTATAACTTAAGAAATATTTCAAAACAATTTTATTGTTGACAAACCACAGAAAATTTAAATTTTTCGAAGACGTTGAAATTTTTTCAAGTCTATTACAATACTATTTTTTTATGAAAAATTATCAATTGAGTTTATATGATTAACATTAACTTAATAATTATTGTAACATAACTGCCATAATTAACTACTACTCAGTTTTGGTTATTTAAGTATAATTAATTTGAATTATTATGAAATTTATTTTGATATTCACTGAGTGAAAATAGTTCAGACACATAAATAAATACTTTAATGATCATGGTATTGTATATTTAAGTCCGATGAATTTAAGAAAGAAAAAAAAAACTCTTATTATCTTTAACAATTAGGCTTATAATAAATGGAAGGTTGATTTTTTTCTTCTTCAAATACCATCGCCAATTTCGCTTTTTCGGTACAAAAAAAATTATAGATAACGTTTCAAATAGTTCGTTCTAAAGTTAGAAAATAAAATAAACAAAACCTTTTTTAAAAAATTTTCAATTCAATTAATATACAGGGTGTTCCGTAAATGTTGTGACAAATTTTTAGGAAAGGCTGGGCACCTGATAAGGATTAAGAATTGTATAGGAACCTATGTACGCCGCTACGGGAGCTTTCCTATTATAAATTCTTTCTTCGTGTGCTTTAGCACTATAGTTTTATTTGCTTAAAATATCTTAACTCATGTTCACGATATTTTCTTTATTGACGGTATATTTTTACGTTTTGTATCACGATATTTTTTTTATTAGTATTGTCGGAAATTGCATTAAAATAGGCTGTTTATTCATAATTTAATGATTTAGCGAAATTTTCAGCTTCATCACCAAATTGTAAAATTGCAATGAAACAGTTAATGCTGCACTTAATTGGATGCAATTTTTATTCTAAGTAAACACAAAATTAAGATAATTTAGATAAACACAAATGCTGGTTATAAAGCAAGCGAAGAAGTGCATAATAGGGGAAACGTCCCTAGCTGCGTACAATGATGTATATATTTTCGATTCACCGTCTAATTGTATGCGATATGAAACTTTAAACACTTTTAACATGAACAAGCTTAATGTAAAATATCTTTTAAAGTGAACTCGAATTTCATTATTGATAGAAACATTTTATTTTTAAGGTGAACAGAAAATATGTTTCCCCTCTGACAGGTAAGAAAACTGACCATTCATAGTTCTTTATCTAAAAGAGTAGTTTTTTTTAATGCTTAGTTATAAAGTTGTGTGAATTAAAACTGTAAAGGTGTTGGGGGTATTACAGGAAACAAAAAAGAAGCCTTTTTGTTATTCAGAAAGAGAATAGTTTTTTTCTTCTTCTCCTTTTGGGAATGTCTCATGAGTGTGAATGTAAGGATGCATGTTTTCCTGAGAAACGACCACCCATACTGATCCTTTGTTCAATATGGATGGTGATTTCTCCCATACTCTCATAGGTTGTTCTAAGAAATCGATAGAGCAGAATTGCATTTCTACAGATGAAGTCAAGTGTACGGTTCACATTTTTCCTACATTTCACTAGCTAAAATTTTAGTTTACTTTCCTCTGATCGATGCTGATGAAAAAATCAATCATTTTGTAATGCAAAAAAATAAATAAAATAAAAAATTCCGATCTTCTTTTGAATCCGGTTGAAGAGTTAGGAAGACTTTTGGAAAGCATGAGCAAATAAGAAACCAAGCTATTACCAATTATTTTGTTAGTAATCTTCTTTAATTTGTGCAATAAATCAGTTTACTTTTATTAGATATTTTTTACTAATTTGTTATTTGCTTCTACAGAATTAAAAAAATAAAAAAAGCTCCAAAAGTAAATCCATTTTTTAAATTTTGTCTGATTTATACTTCTTTCTTTCTAACCTATTTCTTTTTTTAAAGTAATTGGCTGCATTTATTATGAGGTGAATGAAGATCATTAGTTTAATATAAAGCGCAAAGTAAAAATATTTATTTAAATTATGTATTTATAATAGAAATTTTAATTTTAGAAAACGCCAATAGATTGCACCTATCTATAATAGAAAATGTCAGTGTACATTGTACGATTTTCATTAAAAAATTTCTGAATCTTCGAATTCAAATCAGCAATTATTATCGAAACGATGAAGCCGCAAGAATCTCATTCTAAAATCAGATTTAAAATTCCAAGAATTTAAAAAAGAATTCTTTTCGGGAAACTTCAAAAGATAAAAGTGATAACTAACATTTCCTCTCAATGCTTGTTTTTTTTTTTTCTTTCTGTGAGAGAAACATTTTTCCTCAATTACCACAATTTGTAAACATTAAGATTTATAACATAAAATGCTCATTCCAAAAAATTCTTTTGATCTTGATAGGGACAACTGTCCCACGCCTGTTGAGGGCCCGATCAAATTTTCTTCTAAAAATAGTGTTTATTAAGTTATTTTAATCGAAACGTCGGAAATTTTCCTTATATAAAAACTACAGTTCTGAATAAAAGTTAATCAAAACATGAAACAAGGATATTTGTCCTTTAGAAAAACGCCTGATATACATTCTGAGCTGGGGCCCGTAAGACCTTTGCGCTGCTTTAATTCTTCTTCGATATTTTCTTCTGCAGCTTTCGTGAGCTCAGCAAGCACACGCCGGATTTTGCCTCAAGAGGAACGCTTTTCGAAATGAGACATTACTTTTATTGGACTAAATCCTTATTGCTTGATATGGTATGAATCTTTTGTAAACGATTAATTATCGATAACATAAGCTGGACTAGTAATAATTTTTACAAATATATAATGTCTAGTTTTTAAGGGTTTGCCGACATGATCATTTTGCTTGAACAACCATTTGCTACCACTTTATTTTTACTACTATTAAAATGGCTCTTTCGTTAATTAGTTTGCCTTTACAATGGTCTGATCGGACTACCTATAAAAACCCGTGTGGAGGCTTTCAGTTGTAGAGGCGTTGGAGAAACTATACAATTTACAGGCATTATTCTTTGGCTACTATAGAAATATGCTACTCAAAAGTTAGGTAAATTGCTGTAATGGAACACTAGCTCTGTAGAGATGTTCCAAGTTCGAAATAAAATAAATGCAGACTTTAATATTGATTTATAAAAAATATCCTCTTATGAAAAACTCAAAAATGTTAAATCAATGTTTCACTTGAAAAATTTTATTTACCTAAAAAAATCTTTTGTAAAAAAAATTTTCTAACCAATCAATAATCCAGTTTAGGGGTGATGTTCGAGAACCCACGAGCACATTTTTTTATTTCTTCATAGTCCTGCAAAATTTATTATTTCGATATTTTATTTTCAGTATCCAATTAAAATTTCGCCATAACAATCATATTTATACATATGATTGGTCGGGAAACAATTTTTTATGTTATGTAAAGCGACACTGCAAAAAATGTTTATATGTTGCTAACATTAATAGCAAATATCGATTGGAAAAAGCCAAAGCTCTTATGAAACGCTATTTAGTTCCAGCTTTCTCATGGTCAAGATTTTAAAACGTTGGCAAAATTATCAAAAAATCTGCAAGTTTTAGTTCTAAATTGTCTACCACTCTATGAAGATGTTTTTCCAAAAGGATAGTAGTTGGAAGCTCTGTGAGTATAGCGGCTTACCTTTTATCATAATTTTGTCGAAAACGTTTCACATCATATGGAACAATTTAACGAGTTGAAATATATTCCTTCAAGTATGACTTAAATTTTTGAGCACCCTAATAAAAACCTATTTAGGTATTCCGTGTTCAAATCTTTGATCTACAGTACGTCTCGCAATACTTACTGATTATCAAATTATTGCAAAGGAGAAAGCATTTCCTTTGGCAATGTCCTCCTGGAATTTTCTAAGTTTGTGGATTTGATTAGCTTTTGAAAATTTTATTAAAAAAAACTGTGCTTACATTCGTAAGTAAAATTTACTTTTTAAAGACTAACTTTTTTTAAAAATTTTAATATTATCAGAACTGCTGAATACAGCAAATTTTATGATACATTATTTATTTCATGTTTACTTTGGTGTAAAATCTTAAATACTTTACACACAGGGAATTCTATAGACAATAAACAGCTAAAACTATAATACCATAGCTGCCAACATGGATAAGAAAAGATTTTACAAAATATAAATTTCATAACTGTTGCATTTATTACACATGGGGAATTTTTATTGTCATCAAAATAGAAAAACTGCAATATTTTCCAGTTATGATTAACATTAAATATACTTGAAATTTTATGTATCATGTTTACTCATAATTTCGAATATTAATAGGCATATAATTCCTCAAAGATAGTTAAGCTTTTTTTAATTAATTTAAGGGAGTTCAAAATACAAATAAACTGAACATTTTAGAACAAAAAACGTTTTGATCTCATTTCTATAAATGAGGTTTGCTTAATTATGTATTAATAATACTTATTTAAATAATCAAGCAAGCAATAATCTGTGCAAAATTCTATTTCCATAGGGATTTTTTAAGGGAATCCTTCTCAATTTTAGGGAATTTTCTAAAATAAACAAAAATTAGGAGAATTTTGATTAAACTAGTAGACCAGGAGAAACTGGCAAAATCCAGTAGAGATGTCCGCTATGTTACACCGATAAGAAATTTAATTCAACCAAATGCTTTTTTATTTCACTTTAAACAGGAACAACTTTAATTTATGCAAATATAGAAAATTCTAAATAAAAAAAAAACGTATATATATTTCAGAATAAAATAATACAGAAAAAAAAACTTCTAAGAATATTAGATTAAACCAAGAAAAATTGGGTAAGCTTAATGAAAAAACCAGTTAACTTTCCGAGCCCACTTTCCTAGAAGTGTGTTGCTCATTGATTAAAACTAAGTTGATTTCACCAGAAAAATCTAACTTCATTTCTTTCGTTCTAGGGCAACAGTCAAACAGAAGACAGACATCAATCACCATCACATTATTTGACCACTCATATTCATTGCCTTAATTTATTTCAAATCAAATTATTTTCATACTGAACCCATTAAATGTGATTGTAGAAATAAAATTTAAACAAAAAAAAAAAACCAAGGTATTTTGTAATTTTTATTAAATAAACTCACATAAAACTAATGAAGATGCTACAATGCATATAAGAGGATGAAAATGAAACAATTTCACTGATTACAGCTTGGTCTGTCTAGGTAAATTCGTGGAAGGGGCAATACAATACCCACACAAATCATAACGTCCATCTTTTTTCTGAGCATGCTGCATTGATTTTTTTTTAAGATTTTCAATATCCAGGAGGCCCTCCTCTATGAGGACCACCTCTGGGTCCGCCTCCACCAGTAGATGAGAAACACAACTTAAGCATATATGGGAACTTTCCAGGAACTAAAGAAAAATAAATAATAATAATTATAAAAAAATCAACATCTAAATTCAGCTATACAAATAACAATTGCTAACAGTCTAAAGAAATAAAAAACGTAAAAAAAGCGTAAAATGAATGTACAAAAATGGACACGCTAAAGCTCTGGATCTGTAAACAAACTTTCTCAGTGTCTATACAGTTGAGAGAAACATGCAGAAAAAAATTTAAAGATAATAAAAAAGACAGATAAGCAACAGGTGTGAGGGGATTTGCCAGCTCTCAAAGGTACAAGAGATTAGAGATAAGCTTAGGACATGGATACCAGAAAGATCACAGACAAAATTATTATAATTCTTCAAAATATTGATTGACTCAAAAATCATGTTTGGTTGATGAGGAACAGAGAAAGATTTTAGCAGAAGAATACTCAAACTTAAGATTAGAATTTTGATTATGCAGAAAATAGGAAAACTGCCCTAAATTCTATCACAACTGTTCCTTGTCTTACTTTTTTATTATCTTGTTCCCTATTGGTTAAATCACTTAGCCTATGTTTGTAGCATTTGGTGTTTAGACACTGAGAAAGGCTTTAGTTTATGGAGCCAGTTTATATTTGTGCTTTATCTGTTATTGTTTGCTTTAGTCTACACAGCACAAAGTATAACCTGGGGAAAAAAACATGAATAGGAGTATATTATATAAAAATGCTCTTTATTATTTATGCTTAAATATGGAATATTAGAATACATTAAAAAAAATAATTCATTGGACTAGACTTTGGCAACCAGCATTTAATACAAATACTATTTATTATTAATTTTTGAGGGGAAAGATTATTAGTTGTCTTCCACGCTAACTTATACAAGCTCACACTCGAAATCAATATTCCATAAAGAAAACGCATGTCCTCTAAAAAAACGCAGCTGATCAACTTGCTTAGCAAGTTTTCAGCCATTCGCTTAGCTTATTTTAATTCTAATTATATAGTTAGTTTTCTTTTGTAATTCACCCTGTGGCAGAATTGATTCGAATTATCTGCGACAAAATTCTCTAGCACTAATATCTTTCAGCAAGAAACTTTTAATAATAACAAACATATATGTTACTAATTTAAAATAACAAAAATGCTATGTTTACAAAAATCAAAAACTATATATATATTTTTTAATTGAAAATGTAATAATTTTTTTTTAATATTATGGGTGATATTCTCACATTTTGTTGGGGGGAAAGAAGCACAAATTATTTTCTTCACATTTTCAGGGCTGATTGAGAGTCAAGTCAAAATTCTGGAAAATTTCTTGAGAGAAAAAAAAAAAAGGTTTAAATTGAAAAATTAGAAAAACATTTAAACAAGATTTTTTTCCTCCTTTTTCTCAATAATTCTTAGTTTACCTAAAATATATTTAAAATTTTACACATACCTATGATGACCTGGAGAAGTAATTAAAATTTACAAAGATGTCTATCTTTCTTGAGTTTATGATAATAACTAATAAAACTGATAAAAATAACTGATAAATAATAATAAACTGATAATAACTGATAAAAAATGAATATTAATCATGAATATAAGCTTATAAAGTATCTCTCTGGCTCTCCCTTACAAACAAATAAAATAAACTGTGTTTTTGAGTTCCACCTTTGAAAATTTGATTCCCGGAAACTTCTGTGATCAATGATTTTTCTAAAAGTCTGGACCTTCGATCTCCGGAAACTTCCGGATTACTGTCAGTGAAAAATCCGTAAATCTGGACTTTTTTCCGGAGCACAATCAGCCCTGCATTTTGTAAATAGTCATCACAGTAAAAAAAATAATTTGTCAAAAAATAAGATCGACAACGAAATCAAGCGAATCGGACTTCTCGAATGCATGTTTGTTTCGAGATTAGGTTGTAATAACATTGCATAAAAAATATAATCTATTGAGAAATCAATAGCAATAACTGACAAAAATTCGATAGCACCATCATTGCCTTAAAAAGTATACACTCAAACACACGATTCAAATTTTCCATATTGTTTGAAATATGGGGGGGGATATTTAAAATTCACACAAAAATCAATAACTGACGAAAATACAATAAGAATATTACACCCATTTACGATACTTTCGACGTAAATCCAGAGAGTCAAAAAGTGATTAACTAAATGCATGACTCAAATATTACGTGTGAATTTCTGAAGTAATTATTTTTTACTTTTCAAAAGAAAAATCATTCTGTAAGAACTCTCAGCGCTCTGCTACGTCGCGACAATTCTGCAAGGGGGTATTTCACATAGCAAAATTAAAAAGTTAGCTACTGAAATAACAAAAGCATTTTAATAATAAAGAAAATTACATTTAAATATTCCTTATAATGCCATATCCAAAATTTAATTTATATACAATTATATTATTTTTATTGTATTATATTTAATTTCAGATAATCAATAAGGCTTAGGTAATACTAAAATATTTTAGTCACAGGAAATTTAAATTTAAGATAAAATAAGAACTCAATTACGTAAAATATATTTTATACTACTAGTATCTAAATATTAACAATTATGGATATTTTGCACAATTAACAAATGGATGATGATTTAATCAGTTTTGATTTTTTAAACAATCTTAAGAGAAAAAAAAATAATGAATACATTCATTTTAGATAGTTATTACAGATTTATTAGATTTAAAAAAAGAAAAAAAAAAACATGAAAAGTTTAGAAAATTTAAAGAATAAAAGTTACAAGCTATAAATGAGGCATACCTCATTATTTAGAAGAAATACCCATTAAATACCAGTGGAAAGCTTAAACAAGAAATGAAATGAATAAAAAAATTTATTTCATAGGGATTTTCTTTTCATAAACTTAGGAAAAACTGGTAATATCCAGTTACCTATAGAAAAACCTAGTTCAGGAGAAACAATGCAACTAAAACAAATACTTCTATCTCAGATGAACATTCAAGACTAAAAGAAACAAATATACTAACCGGGGTTTTTAATGGAGGTATGGTTACATTGAGCTAAACCTTCAAGAGCTTGCTCTACATTCTCAAACTCTAACAATCCAGAAGAGCTCCTTTCAGCTGTAACAAACAAAACAAAAATAGTAAAGAATTTGAATCATTAAGTAACAGAATTAAAAAATACAATTTAATCAGTAATCTTAGTTGATAAAAAGGCATCTAAAAGCTGACTGCAACTTACAGTTATTTTTAGACTGGAAGAGCTTTACAGACACAGGAGGTATAGCTTCCTTTTCTTCGAAAACCTAAAAATGAAGATAGTTAAGTGTCTCTCTTTTTGTAAAATGATAGGAAAATAAGCATACCTGCCAACAATAGATACATAAAATGAAGGAGATTTTAGGTCATGAGTCAAGTTCTAATAAATCATGCAAGTCAAAAAGAGAAATTCAAAATTGGAATATAAGCACTTGAATTTAGCGAAGTAAAAAATATGTATATAAATCTTAATCTAAAGAAGATTTCTTTAAAGCATTATTTATTAATTTAACTATTAACACTCATCATACTGCAGTACTGGCAATAGCACCATCTGTTGAGGAATAAGATAAGTATTTTTCTATCAGTGGATATTTTATTGCCAAATTTATTTTTATAAATTTCTTCAACTAATGCAAAGAAATTTATGGATACACAGGTAAACAGGAGATAGTCACATAATACAGGAGTTTTTGTTAAAAAAAAACAGGAGATACATAACAGTATTAAGAGAAATATTTTCATGAAAATTATTCAAAAACCAAAATTGCCATTCTAAAAATAAGGCAAATTTTATGACTGAATCCTTATTGAGACGAAATATGTATGCTATTATTTAGAGCTTAAAATAGGCAATATTTAAGGACAGCCAGTCTACAGATGTAAAATTTTAAAAAAATTACTGTATTTAATTAAATTAGTATAATTAACATTATAAATATATAAACCTATAAAAACATTAAATAAAAATTTATTAACATTGCATTAAGCAGAAAAGTACTACTCAGTAAAAACCTTTCTATATCATGCTTTAAGTTACATGATTGTTACAAAAATAAAATAATAAAATTCTTATCACTATATGCTCAAAATAAATATGAATCTATTTTCCAAATTAATCTTTTATCATTCTAATGGCTTCAGAAAGTTACATTTAGAAATATTTATTAAAATAAAAACGATGACAAGGAAATAAATTCTAATACCATTAAGTATGTTTTGATTAGTTAATGAACAGTTAACTATTGTAATGCATAACATAATCATAATTGCGTGTAACTATAGGCATAATACTTCCCATAGCCTAATTCTCTGAGAAAATTTTGGTATTAACCTTATTTCAGACAGTTCATAAACTATAGGCATTATCATTCGTAAGACAATTTAAAAATTCTGGTCTTTCACAAAGTAATTTGTTAAAGTTAAGCACTCTTGATACTTAAAACACATGTTACATCAGGACAAAAGAATTATACAAATTAACTAAATAATGAACAACAATTATGAAGATAAACTACCTTTTTCATTTCATCTTCAGAAATACCAAATGGTGCATTAAAGAAATGAAGCATCTTTGATGGGGGTGTAATCCTATTCTTGCTTGCCGCTTCTGGGTTGCTGAATCTATTGTTGCGGCTACCCATGTAATCTTTGAAAGATGGTGTATTATCAGGCAATGAGAAAGGTTGCTGGACATCATTTAAGAAAGCCTGTTTAGAATATCTATAAAAATAAAATAGTTTTTTAACAAAAATGCATAATTAAATACATAATCATAAAAAAAACTAATTAAAAAATAAAAAAAAATTTCATACCCAAGTTGCAGCTTGCATTCGTAGAAATAAGATCCATTCAGATTGTTAACTGCTCGTTCCACGGCGGTGATATCTCCCATTTGAATCATCGCACATCCTTCTTTGCTTTTTAAGAATTTGATCTAAAAAAAGAACATTTTAAAATGAGAGGAAAAAATGCAATATTAAGTTTAAAAAAAAGAGTCTTTACTAATTGAAATGAACATTTAAGAAAATATGTAGAATATTCTAGTTTCCGTGAATAAATATGCTTAATTAATCAGAATTATTTTAGAACCTAAACTCAAACTAAACTCAGTGGTGCAACAACCCATAGGCCAAGGCTTACTGTGCCAATCTCAGTTTTCTTGACTTTGGGCTCAGGAGCAGATGTTCAGGTTAGATGGTCAGCAGAGCGCGAAACCCCCTCAGTGTTTAGTTCCCAAGCACGCTTGTCATTTATCGACCCACTGAAGGGATGAAAGACTGAGTCAACCTTGCACGGCCCGAGGATTGAACGCAAGACCTGTAGCACGGGAGCATGAAGCGCTACCATTCAGCCACGGGCGTCTATTTTAGAACCAAGTACCAAAAATAAGCAGCTTATGTACACACACTAAATATATTAAAGAAACTTAAAAAAAAAGGTAGTAAAGGTTTGCCTGGTAAGATACCCATATTTATTTTTTACTATTATCGTTTTTTTTTTTTTAAATCCTTGATATTGTTGCTAACAAGTTCTCATTTTTAAGTAATATTTACTTAAACTGATTCAATAAATTATAAAATACAAAAACATAAACACATAGCTGTGCTATTATGAAAACCTTCTTGTACCTAATTTTTTCAAGATCAGATTAGCTTTTTTTAAAAAAATCAATTTAGGGACTCTTGATTATAATAAAGTTTGCTTAAGACAAATTTCAAATGAAAATAATTTAAGGATCATTCAACAAATGATAAACTTTTTCCGACAACTGAATACTCTGTTGGAGCATTTTAAATTGACAGATGTAGAGCCAGATATAAAATAAAAAGTACATAACTTAATGGTTCAATTTCAACACATTAAAAAAAAAAAGAGAGAGATAATGCAAAGTTAAAACTTACACGAACAACATTGCCATATAAGCACAATATGTTAAATAATTTATCGCAATTCATTTTCTCGGCATTGAGTCCATATGCCATTATAACACAGCCACCTTGAGGACCACCCTGAGGAGGGGGTGGGGGACCACCAGGTCCATAACCTGGCCCACGAGGATTAGCTGGAGGTCCATCAGCTCGATAAGGATCACGCCCAAACCTAAAATAATAAGTCGGAATATCAACATGACTTCAAAACTTACACAACATTATGAATAAAATGGGAATAGTTACATATTTAAATATATATATAAATATATATACTGATACTTGATAGAAAATTCTAGGACTATTGTAAGTCTTTAAAATGAGAATGTTATGTCGAAAAGTAAAGAAAACTAAAACATATTTGTAATCATGGGTCTGTCTAGGTTTTTCTGAGCGGTACCTATTTTGTGAAAATTTAGACAGAATTTGCAAAAATTAAAAATTATAGTAAAAAATCAATACAAAAATATAGATTCATCAGTTCTTATGGGATACAAAAATAAAATTTAAAGAAAAAGTATTTTGTGAAACTATTGTTTTTCCCAAAGTTGAATTTGTGAAGGTACCAGTAAATGATAGCAAATTTGGCCTAGACAGACCCCTGGAAATTCATAAATACGACTTATTTTGACAAAGCCTTTGTTCTTTAATCCACTTCTTTCAAAATGTTTTAATAGTTTGAAGCATATTGTGTTATGCTGGTCATGAGCAGCTATTTTTGTTAAACATGACATACGTCCAGAGAATTACAAAATCTAAGATAAAAGAAACCACCTAATATAATACTGCACAAAAAAAGAGTGAATTAAAACAAGAAAAATATGAGTGACGAATTTACTACTTTGTAAAGAAATTTAAAAAGGTGATGAATGCATACAGGGGATTTGACGAGAATACAATATGCATTTTTAATTAGATCCAACAATTATTCAATATTTCAATAGATTGCCCAGACAAAAATATGCAGTTCCATTACTCATTCTTCATTCATAAAGAATTTAAGATGCTTCAAGGTCATTAAGCAGTAACATCAAAAGGAATATTACTTTGAATCATTTTCTCGAGACTTGTGCATTGATTCATTGTCAATGGCAAAATGCTTAGTAAGTTCATAAATTGTCATAACTTATTTTCTAGATAGATATTCTATTAAGTAGAGAAAATTAAATAAAATTTCAGGCCCTACATAGGAGTGAATGGTTCAGTTTAAAGATTCTCACAAGTGTTAAATTAATAATGCATCTAGGGAAGGGCAAACAGTACCAGGGTTGCCACTCAAATCTGGAAAAAAAAATTCCCTGTGTTTTCCCTGTACATGTTATACGCAATATATTAAGAGGAAACAACAATTACTGTGCTCTTGTGTGAGCTATATTGGGCTAACTATATTTATTAGTTTTAATTGCTGGAAAAACAGCTGAACATACTTAAATAATGCTATAGTAAATGAAATAGTTTAGTATAGCTGAAATATCATGGTTAAATATCCCATAGATTACGCTTTGAGTGGTCACAATTTTTTAAATGATCAAAAAAAAAAAAACAAAATTCCCTGTATTTTCCCAGTTTGTAAAGAAAAATTCAAAATTCCCTGTATTTTCCCTGTTATTTTAGGTGATTTTTAAATTCCCTGTATTTTCCAGGTTTTCCCTGTAGAGTGGCAACCCTGAGTACCTCATTCTTTATGTATCAGTCATAATATTGAAATAGGTGAGATAGTGACGGTGGTCTAACTAAACAAAAAAACTTGAAATAGGAGGTAAAAACAACAATTACCTATCTGGAGGAGCAGGGCCTCCATATGGATCTCTAGCAGGTGGTCCATAAGGATCTTGTCGAGGGCCACCACGGGGCATGTATCCGTCGTCATATCCAGCATCATAACCAGGTCCTCCAGGTCTGCCATCTATGGGAAATAGGAAAACCTTTAACAACTTCCAATGAAATATTTAAAGAATTAAATTTCAACTTATAATAAATTTATAAACTAAATACTAAAATCAGGATAACAATTTTGTATTATCTTTTATTAGTCCTATAACTATGTTTAGAAGATTACTGAAACAAAATGCATTAATCTAACTTGTTAACAAACACTTTCTTTTCATGCAAGGTTGAAAAAGGGTGTAGGATGTTTTCCGCACTAATGCAAGACAATAAGTAATGCCTGCATTAGAGCAGAAAATTTTTACATAAATATTAATTACAATTAATAACCAAAATTAAAGTAACAAGTCTAATCAATTGATTTAATGACAAATAACATCAATTGCAGAAAATAGCTATGTAATATGAATCAAGATTTTACTCAACTTGCTTTTTTGAGTCAAAGCACTGATTCTGTTTCCATTGTTTGGTTACATTTCACAACCATGTTGCTTCATTTTGCAATTTTTTTTTTTAAATCAGAGCCTGTTTCTTTAATCTATTTTAAAAAATATTAGAAACTAGACATTAAAATTGAAATAACTACAAACATTCTTGCAATATGAATAACAAAGAGTCAAGATGCTATGTTTTACTGAAGAAATCTTAGTATATTACACACAAAATAATCCGATTTCAAGTTGATGTTTTCAAGTTTTAATTTCTTGAAAACTTTAAAGTGACATTAACATCCATTTTTCATTATTAAACAATAAGTATGAACTTCTAACTCATGAAGAATACGATGAAGAGTATGAACTTTTAACTCATGTTATTTATTGATCATACTATGTACAAATCCACCATCAGTTAAAATGTTAACTCAGTATAACAATATTTAAAGTATACAATAATTAAAAGCTTGCTACCTATTATAAATTACATATAGTTTCATTAACATTAGATACACTTAACAAAGATAAATAAACATACCATAAGGAGGGGGAGGTCCATTGCCAGGGGGTCCATAACCACGTGGAGGTTCTTGAAGTAATGCAGGCCTGTCATTTCCAGGTTGCTTTCCTAATTAAAGAAGCATAAAATATATACACACTATCCTTTAAATATAAAGTTATAAAAAGCAGCAAAAATAATCTAAAGATATTAAAGAATAGACTGATTCAGCAACAATAAAATACTCACTCAAGTCAATCACACAGCATCTAAAAATGAAAACAAGCAAAAAAAACAAGACACAATAGGCAACTAGGGCCAAAATCTTAAAATTATTTAAATTCAGACAAGGATCAAACCTTCCTGTCTTTTGCCACCATATTCCCAGCAAGTTATACAGAAAACGAGCTTGCAGCATGGAGCAGGCAGTAAGAGTTGCAGAAGCTCGCTTGCAAGACCAGGTCGAGATCACAGCCTGCCAATATTCTGCCTGTATACAAGAGTCACAGGATTAGGTATCATAGATACTCAATTTCTTTATTTGTTTGTTTTTTTAACAACACTTGTATTTGTTGTTGAGTGGTGATGGTAGTGTTTTGTCTTTTCCATGTTTTCTTCTCTTCTGGATTTTGCATGAGTGCTGTATTCTTGAGTGAATGACAATGTCTGTTCTGTTGATATGAACAGTTTTATTTATTTCTCCTTGGTGAGTAAAATACTGTCATTTTGCAAGTGTTCAAGTAATGCTTGTGTAACAGTCAGTTTGCTCAGTCAGTTTAGTGCAAGTCTCCCTTATGTTTTGTTCATAGATCAGTTTTAAATATTTTTTTTTATTTTATCTGCAAAAAGAGTATCATCTAATGCAATGTTTCATCTAATACAATGTTAACTGTGTCAATACTTCTTTTATAGTATTTTTTAAAACTCATATTTTTAAGCAAAACACGTTTTCCGACACTGAGAAAAAATTATTACTATACCAATTTGACCTTAACAAGCCTAATCTATTAAAAATGCCTAGTTAACTTCTAAATGGAATAGCCTCAAAATGCTGCCTAATCGCACCTTTCAAAAACTGCAAACACTAGCAATTTAAAATTTAAGTTCAAACTATATACTGCCTCTAAAAGATCTCTGAAGAACAAGCAATTTTACACTAATAAAAACAGAATTCTTCATCTGCATCAAATAATGGTCAATGCCTATATATACTTCAATAAGACATATCGGTTTGAGTTTTTTTTAAAAATTTCATTAACAAATATCTTTTATATTAATTCAGAAACACTTCAACACATTTAGATAAAAGTAAGAATTAGGGTCTTTTAGGTCATCAAGACACTGCATTACCATTATCATTTAAGGCTGCATTTTACTGATAAAACAGCGATTTTGCATAAATCGTAAGAAATTTTTTGGGGGGGGGAAACTGAACTATTGAAAACCAGTTTAAATACTTCAAAAAAATTTTAAAACATATTAACTGCACTAAAATTTTAAAAGTTAATCATAAACATACCAGTCAATGCAAAACTATTATTTTCAGTATCTTTCTAATTTTTTTTTAAAGCATATATTTTCTAGCAAAATAAACAGTTAAAATTTTTTATTTAGAAGTCACAGTGAAAACTTTTAGTTTTCAGATTTATTTGCATTATTTTTTCACAGAATATTTATGCTTCAACCTAACAAAACCTGTTGAATCCATTATTTTCAACTTAATATTTCAAGTTTGAACATAGTCTAATGGAACAGGTAGTAACATCTAGTAAATTTGGTTAGTTTAATTAATAATTCATGTTTGTTAATGAGATAAATTGTTATCATTAGCTGAAAAGACGAGAAAAAATAAATTTTCAGAGTATTTTAAACGGAATTGTTTGAATATCTAAAGATGGTCTAATTAATAAAAAAACAATTAATACTTTTAGTAATGAAAAGTTTAAAGTGAAAAATGTAGTGTAGGTTAGCAAAAAGTAATTTGTTGAGTAATGTAAATATTGTAATATGTAATATAACAAAATAAATTAAAAATAACAATTTGACAATTTTATATATAAAAAAATATTTAAGACAATTATACGCAATATANATTTATACACAAATGTAAAAAATAACAATTTTATACATAAAAATAAAATAAATTGAACAATATTTATCACATGAAGTAAAAAAAAAAAAAAAAAAAAATTAACAGAGCAGACTTTTATTTCTAAGATCTTAGTTTCAAAATTGAATATTAATTTTATTTTCTAGCAAAAAATTTTTGATTTCGCCACAGTAACTATTTTTAAAAAATAACATGAATAAATGCAGCTATTCCATACCAAATATAACATGAGTAATAGAGAAAATATTACTTGGTTGCAAAGTAAGACTCTTTAATTATTTAATTACTATTGATTAAAAAAAAAAACTAAATATAAGTAAAAGTGAATTAAACAAAATTAAACCAAAATTCACCTTAGAAAAATTATTCAAGTAGATACCCATTTTTTTTGTGTGGATAGAACTTAGAATCTGGAACATTATGCCTGAAGCTACTGATATAAGAATTCGGAAACTCCGGCAAATAGTTTTTAAACTACCAACACAACTATTTTTTTTTTAAATAATGAAACATGAAGTTAAAAGTAATTCACTGGAACTCAAATGTTATTTCAATATCATAATTTGACAATCAATGTAATAAATTTTTAATTTTATTAATTGAACTTTTTATTGAAGAGATAAAACCATTTACATCTAAATTATGCTGATACATGAATTTTTTTTTGTCCATTACCTATTTAGTATATAACATCACAGCTGCATGATTTGATATATTTACATATATTTCATTGCATAATCAATAGATTATGGTGACACTTTTAGTAAATTTTTAATTAACAAAAAGATATTGTTACTAAATTTGTTTTTCTTGGTTGCATTCAAAGACTAACAAAAGGAAAAACAATTTAATGGACTGAAAACCAAGAAGTTCTGTTTTTGAAAGACAGAATAAAAGTATAAGTAAAAATAGTGATGAAAAACAAATTAAAAATTACTAAATAAGTTAATAAAAAAATTAGTTAAACTGGATAATAAAAAAATGTTAAATAAGTTAATAAAAAAATGAGTTAATATTTATTCAGGACATAAAACTTGTCATAAAGTTGATCAAATGGATATTTAAAAAGTCGAAATTACTTAAAAATTCAAATAGATATGTAAATGAGATAGAAGAAAATTAAGAAATAACTAGATAATATGCAATACTAAAAATATTTAAGCATAGCTAAAAAAAGTAATTTCATAAAACAAATATTAATTCCTCAAGCATACCTAGAGCATTATTTGTGTAATCCCAGCTTTCATTGTCATTCTTGTAAACATTTAGGCGAGTAGGCTAGAATGAAATATCATTATTAAAAGAGAGGTTTATATAATTCAAATGCATGTCAATTGATTAAAAGCACTTTTTACCTTAGCAAACTCGATCTTCAAGGTGCAACAACCAGAGTAAATATCACATCCATTAAGTGACTGCTTTGCTCGTTCTGCAGCTTCCAAACTGTCAAACTTGATCAATAGTTAAGAAATAATCAGAGACATTAGGATCCACTTGCATTTTTAATGAAACTTGAGTGCAAATACATAAAAACAAAAATACATAAAAATATCTGCCATTACATGATTTTTTTTTCCTTTTATATACGAATGAGTTAAAACTTTTAGATAGATGCCAAGTACCATAAGTTACATACTTTAGAAATATTTCTACGAATGGAGAATTTTTGAAATGTACAGTAATTTATGATAGATAGGTCAGCCTAACTGTATTAATTTTCGTAATGTGTGGCCTATATACATATTCTCCCACAGGCTTAGGGCAAAGATCCTGACATCAATGTGGATTTAATAACAAATATAAATTTTCCCAAAAAATTTCTACAATTTTTATCAGAACAATATTAATTTGATCAGAAAAAGGTATTCTCCCCCTCTTTTACTTAATTTCTTTTATTAAAATATGGCAGTAAGGCGATTGTATTGTATTTCTACACGTCATCAACAACGAATGCACAGTAAAAACAAATTTCTAGCTTGAGAATATATAAATGCCTGTTTATATCCCAGGGATTCGGAAGAAATATTTCCGGGTTAAAATAATCAAGTGAAGCAAAAAATAAAAAAAATTATATGACAAGGAAATGACATAAAGCTTGAATGGAAATTCCAACTCACACCTGGAAGAGATTGTTCCAGCGGATGAAGCGCATTCGGATAGAAGAGAAAAGAAGAAGAAAAATTCTCACCATTCTTATTGATGAGTTCATCAGCGCCACATGATCTATGCATTGCGTTTTGCTTCAACCCACTTTCTTGTTCCTAGAAGTGGATAGGTTTTTATTGATGAGTTCATCAGAGCCACATGATCTATGCATTGCATTTTGCTCTGAATCCCATTTTCTTGTTCTTAGAAGTGGATAGGTTAGTTGGGAAAAAAAAAAAAAGAGAGAGAGAGAGAAGGTTCTTGTTATGATGCCATGATATTGATAAGATCTCCTAGCGTCATATGTTGAACTTTTGCTATTTTCTTTTCAACTGCAGAGAGTTAGCAGTTTTGACTTTCTTTCTATACCAGGATGTTTGTTCTTTCAAAGTTGCATAGTGGATTCTGAGTTCATGCGCTTCATGTTAGACAATTTTTGAGTTTACTTCCATAGGTTTTCGTTCATTTTTTTGTGCTTAAAATAAAACCTCAGATTTCTCTTTAGTAGTGACAAAAATTGGAACTGGTGGTTATAGGACAGTGGGGACTCTTTCCCAAAACAAAATGTAAAACTATTCATTAAAACTCTATTTAAGATAGAACATAAACATCAAAATATGAGCTACAAAAATTAAATTATCATAAACAATTAGAATTATATCACAAATCATTTATAAAGGATATTCCACCATTGCTTGAACACCATTCTTTTTAAATATTACAATTCTCAAAACCTTTCCACTTGGACTACAGATAGTATGAATAACATCCTAAAATGATGAAAGAATAATTAGCAAAAGTTAAATTTAAGATCAAATAATAATAATAATAAATTAATTTACTTACAGTTGTAATAGGATAAGCTGGATTCATCACAGTTATTAACAAAATGTGGTTGGGTTTTTCCTCGAAACTATAATGAAATATTAAAAACTCAGAAAGAGATAGTTCAATAAAGATAATAAAATAAGAAGAATTTCCATATCAGCATGGGTGCAAGTTGGAAAAAAGGCCAAGACTGAAATTTTTTTGACTGAAATACCTAACATACACAATATCCCCTCGACATATGCAAACTATCTAAGAAAGCTTTACCATAATACATAAAGTTTAAATACTGCACAAAAAATATTTATTCATCTGTCTTTTGATAAAATACAGGTATGAAAGTGGACAAAAATAAAAAAAGCTGAACTTTTACAAAGCATGTCACTGGGAGGACGGGGGGAGGGGGTGCTCTATACGATACTGAGAATTATAAAAGCAACTTTTAACTATGCTGGGAGATTCTTATTTAATATTTAAAGTGGGAGAAGCATTTAGACAGTTAACTTCAAATTTTTCCGAAATAGAATTTTGACTACCATATCAAAAAAAATTAAGCAATTATAGGAAGGCACAACTATTAAATTGCTTACTAATGAAAAATATACCACATCTTTACAGTAACTAATTCAAGAAAAAACTTACTTCTACTTCTTTGAAGAATCGCGGTATTGGATTTTAAAATCGCGTGAATACGAATCGCGATATTGGATTTTAAATTTGTGTGAATATGAATCGCGATTTTGGATTTTAAAATCGCGTGAATATGAATCGTGCGGTTGGATTTTAAAATCGCGTAAATATGAATCAAGTTGTTGGATTTTAAAAACACGAAAATACAAATCACGATATTGGATTTTAAAATCGCGTGAATATGAATCGCGATTTTGGATTATAAAATCGCGTGAATATGAATCGCGATTTATGATTATAAAATCGCGTGAATATGAATCGCGATTTTGGATTATAAAATCACTTGAATATGAATTCTGAGGTTGGATTTTAAAATCGCGTGAACATGAATCGCGATATTGAATTTTATAATTGCGCGAATAAGAATCGCTATTTTGGATTTTAAAATCACGTGAATATGAATCGCGCTGTTGGATTTTAAAAACACGAAAGTACAAATTGCGGTATTGGGTTTTAAAACCGCTTAAATACAAATTGTGATATTGAATTTTTAAATCGCGTAATTAAGAATAACGATGCATAATTTTTAGATCAGGTCAAAACGAATCGCAATGAGTATTTTTAAATAGCTTACAAATACGAAAAACGATACAACTGCGTGATAATGAATCGAAATATTGGATTCTAAAATGCGTGAATACGAATTGTGACGTTGGATTTTAAACTCGCGAGAATACAAATCGCGATATTGGGTTTTAAAAACGTTTAAACACAAATCGCGATATTGGATATTTAAATTGAGTGAATAGGAATTGCTAGTATGAGTTTTAAATAGCGTAAAAAAAAATCGCAGCACGTAACTTTTAAATCAGTTAAATACGAAAATCGATGATTGATATTAAAATCGTCTGATTAAAAATCGCGATTTTAGCGATTCCGGAGCAGTTCCTAACATTTAAAATTCAGAAAATCAGCCAAACAAAAGAAATCAAATAACGGTGGTCAGAAACGAAACGCTTAGACTCCTTTCCACTCTATAGCGGAAGTCGCGGTAATCCAACTATCGTTCAGGCGGCTAGGGTTCTTTAATTTAACTCTTCAAAAATTTTAGTTTTTGGAACATTGTCGGAAATTTTAAAAATTGGGAGAAAAAAGCGGATTTCCGCGGAAGTCCTTCATCCCTGTAAAATAACAACAAAGAAAGTAGACCAATAACGTAGACCTAAAAAATATTTTTAAGGACAGAAATTTTTATTCCTCCTATTTCCGTCTTCGAGTCAGTCTTGTTTCCGTCTTACTTCCGTCCGCGGACACTTTCGGAAGACGGAAATCCGTCCTGGGGACGGAAGACTTGCACCCATGCATATCAGTACCTGTACCAAGAAAGTCAGCAAATTTTGGCATTATGGAAAGAGACCTGCCCGAGAAATATTATGTAACAAGTGCCCCAAGGAAAATTTCTTTTTAAATTTTTGCAAAAGCTTTAGCAAAGGAAGTTTGGCAAACTGATATGGAAATATTTCATCGAAATATAAAATTGCTAGTTACCCTTCACGTCTTCCACCAGCAGCACCTCTATTATTGTAGCTATTGTTGAAATAATTTCCACCGCTATTGCCAAAAGACTCCTGAAAGAATATATCACACTAGTTTTAGTCAATAAATATTTCTCTTCACTCTATATTTTAAATAGCTAATATAATTGTAAAATATTTCAGGATAACTGCAGGTGTAATAGTAAAATATTTAGGTTATATAAAGGTTGTATAAAGGTTTTGCAAATGTCAGTGCTTACCAGTAAGCTTGAGTTAGGCAGGTTTTGAGTAGTTTCACATCTTTTTAAGAAACTATTACAATAAGCTTATTCTATAGACAATATATGTATTTATTTAAATACCTTATATACCAATAATCAGATATGTATAATATATACCAGAAAGAGCAATCAGCGTCTGCAAAAAAAATCTGCCACTCTTGTAGAAATTTTTTTATTATCATTCATTATAAAAATAAATCTCAAAATTCCCTATTTTACTTCACAGTCTATCTTTCAACTTTGAAGAATTTGTTTAGCATTACTCATTTAAAAAAATAAAAATGATGAAAATTTATCAATCTTAATCAGCGGATCAATCTTGCAAGGATATATAGTAGAAGAGATATATTCTGCAGAAGATTAAAAACATATTTATAAGAATTTCTTCTTACATTGCATCAGTACTTTCAATGAAATCTTTTAATTTCACTTTCAGACATGCTATTTATAATAATCAATATAAAGATTATAAAAATTGAAATTTTCATATTTGAAAATTCATATTTCGTTTTATCGGGGATATTTCCTTATCTGTGGCAGAATAATCACCAAGTCTTGGAAATTTCCGGGCAGTTGCCCTGCGAGTAACTAAAAAAAAATATCACAGAAAGGGCCACCTCGGCCACTTTCTGATGTATAACCCGTAGCCACCTCGGGCAAACATCAACGTGTTTCTTTTTTCTTTTAAATTTGCAAGTTTTAATTCTATTTGGCATCTTGGTGATTATAGTTGGTGAGACAGATCACGATACGGAAATATCCCCTTAGACACGACAGATCACGATACGGAAATATCCCCCAACTATTTTCAATTCAGTTAATTTTGAAAAAGGAAATACTTCTTAAAAAACTAATTTACCAACAATCGCAGCTGTTGTCCTGGGAATAGATTTAACAAGCATCGCTAAAAATAATTCCCGGCCAATTATCATATGAAATATTCTTTTGTTTCGTTCTTGAGTAACTTATTGATACGTTCTTTAATATTCATGCAACAGATTTTAAGAATTTAAATTTTTCAAAAATTAATTATGTCTGTCTTAAAACTGTGCCAAGACTGGACAGCAGGCTGGAAACTAATAGGTAAACTTTTAAGAAATTAATAAGAAAATAAATCATAAGCATAAGCAAGTTTTAAATTTAAAAAAAAAGAAAATAATACATAAAAGTTAAGACTTAGCAACAACAAAAAATTGTACAAGCAATTAATTGAAAATGGCGCAATGGCATGTTTTACAAACGCATATTTATCTCACCCTTTTAGCATCATTGTCCGTTCTTTGTCTTTTCGCAGCATGACCATCAAATTGAGCCATATTTTAAAAGATTATTGCAATAACTATATTATAAATAAACTTTTTATTAATAATAAAGACACCAAGTACAAACACCGATTATCCGGCCATGGAGTCCGGCATTCAAAACAATTTATTAGCAGTTGCAGTTACCTCAGTCAAATCGATTATTATTATTGGAACTAATCGATAACTAAATCGATAAATATCATTGGAACTAATATTAAGTAGACATTCAGACTAACGTATAAAGAAGCAATCTCACAATGAATTTTCATATTTCCTCGACAGCGATCGGAGATGCAGCTACCACATTCCTTGAGAATGCTGCCTGAAGTCATCGGTTTTGCAGTAGCTATACTTTATTTACATAGCCCAAAAGCTGCAAATGGGCTATTGATGAAAGTCTGTAAAACGTCTTTGAGGATAATCCTAATAAGCAGACAAGTTTGATTACATGCAGACGGGATGTCTCATCCGCTTTAGTAGTTTACGACATCGAGTAACCTACAATTTTCGTTGAATTAAACACTTTTAAGTCTCTGTAAATAACAAATAATTCAATTCTTCAAAGGTGCAAAAATATAGCACATTCGCTTTCTCAGCTATCTATGAATCATTGTAGAACTGCAAGTGACCCAAGTCTTCCCATTACGTCATTATTCCGTACACTGGAAATCAGCCTTATGACTTCAAGCACATCAAGTATATCAGATATCGCTTATTGTTTTATAACCTTTTACGATAAAACAGCTTATAAAGCAATTTATGATGCCCTGATCCATCAGCTGTAATCTCGCCGTTGTGTCTAGAGGCAGAATATGCAACTTTATAGCTATAAATTTACACCGATCTCATTGCGCAGCACAATTATCCCCAAAGATTGCCACTTTTGGATTTTTAGCATGTAAGGTTCTAATTTCGTTATATAATCTTGGGAAAAATTTGCGGTGATGCGAGATTTTTTTGTCAACGCCAAAAAGAGGGAAAAAATTTTTTGTTGTGGAAAAAACGGGATTTCAAAGGCAATTTTTCTTTGCTCATTTCGCCTGCAGTGCAATTTTCATCTTAAACGTCAAAAGTCTCTTAAGGAAGACATTTGAAACACAAACCCATTACGTCAGCATTGTTCACACTATCCTCGAGGCAAATTGAGTAGGGTTTAATTAATCCTTTGTTCACACACACTTAATTATAAACATTTTTACCATGGAGAATCGGTCCCGCTGTGTTGTTGTTGTTGTTGTTGTTAATTTACGTCGCACTAGAGCTGCACAATGGGCTATTGGCGACNGCGGTATTGGTCCTCGTTAAACTATTCTACCGTTAAGTGCTCGACTTCGCGTGCAGGTCGTCGGGCTGCCAAAGCGGGATGCCATTCTTCTGCAGAGGATCAAAATTGTGATGGCATGTCTTTGGATCATCCTCAGGGATGTTTCCCAGACTGTCGCCAATAGCCCATTGTGCAGCTCTAGTGCGACGTAAATGAACAACAACAACAACCACGGAGAATCGAAAAACGATGTAATGCCTACTCTTAAACTTTTCGAGCTGGGCAGAGCTCACGTTTAAACTCTCAATTTTCAACAAAGCTGTAGAATCTTTTGCTTTATCCCCACTAATAGGAAATGCATTTATTAGAATTTCTATCCTCAGAGTCGGAAAACGTTTTTGCACATTGGGCGATACTGAAAACGGCGCCCTTAGCTCAATTTTGGAAAAAGGAATCTATATTTAATTGTTTAAAAAATCCTTGAATCGTCACGCAGTCATAATGTCGCAGAAAATTGCTCTTTACATTTTAAATTAAAATATTTTTGGGAAAGAAAAAAAATATTCCAAATAAATATGTAAATATTATAAGAATGAAAGTTTTTTTTTGTTAACATAAAATATAATAAGATTTTGGAAATTACCTAATCTTACTTACTAATTATCATGGAAATTAACCTTTCAGTGTCTTGTTTCTCTAAATAGCCCCAATTTCTCATAAAATACAAAAAGATTTAGAAGAAAAACTTAAGTTTAAATTAAATTTCGAAGCAAATTAGGAGTATTTTCTACATAAAATATTAAAACTTATTTTAACAAATTCCTATTACATTAAGTGCTCATTTGCTAATATAGGTCAACATGCACAGTGAGCAAATAATAAAAAAAAATAAGAACCGAACTACCTTGAATAATTTTTGATCTAATGATCGGATCTTCTCGTTTTAGGACTCCATCTTAATGGAGGTGAACTCAAATATTGAATTTGTGCAGACGATGTTTTAAGTTACGAAATTAGAAGCAAAAAAGTAATTTCTTTGAATAAATATTAAAAAAAAAAAAAAAAAAAAAGACTCCAGTTACTCACAGAGCTGAAGCACATCTGAAATATTAACAAATTTCATAAAAAATATTTTAGGTGATAAAATACTTACTGGGAGCCTCAAACACAAAAGTAACAGTATCAGCATCATCTTGAGCTTTGATGGTAATTACATCATCATTTGCTGCACATCTCAAAATCTTTCCCATACTATAAAAAAAAAAAAAAAAAAAAAAAAACGAATTTTTCAACATTTGATCTCTTAGGAACTATTCAATCGATTCCACTCAAATTCTGTATTTTGCCATGTAAAATTAGATACTTTAAAATGATGCAAAAACTTTTATTCCTTAAATTTCAAAATTTTCAGACCATTATTAAATAAAATAAAAAAAAGTACTTAATTACTAAAATATATTTTATTGCGTGGATTTCTCTTCTGATAAACGAATTTTATGGCTGCGTGCAAAAATTTTTCAATTTGCTTAATAATAGAGCCCCTGAATTAGACAGGCCGACTCATCATCCATTTTTGCTCCAAAGAGCTAACATAAACACAATACTAACATAACGTTAACTTGTAAACTTTTTTGCTCCAATATTGCTTGATAGGTCAGAGTAAGGCTCCTATACTATCAGAGCTGACCTATCAAGCAATATTGGAGCAAAAACGTTTGCAAGTTAGCGTTATGTTAGTATTAAGCTTATGTTAGCTCTTTAGAGCAAAAATAGATGATGAGTCGGCCTGTCTAATTCAGGGGCTCTAGGTCAGAGTATAAGTTCTCGAGATATAGTGAAAAAGGCAAAAATAAAATTAACATTAGGAGGTCCAAAATTTGGATTACTCTCCTGACTGAACTATGGAGATCATATTTCACAGATTGTGACTACCCCTTATATTTCAGGGGTCGAAACTCCGAATCGATCGAAAAAAGGGTATGTTTATTCAGAGAAAATACGTTTTTGTGTCTAATTTCGTAACTTAACTTCAAAGTGATGTTTTATGTGTATAAAAAAAATCTGTTAATTTTCTTGACACGTTAAATTGAAAAGAATGATTGAAAAACTGAAATGTCCACAGTCATTCTCGGAAGATACTCCTCCTTTTCGTCCTGTATTCTCTTTATGAGAATATTGCAACTTCTAATCCCCTTGTTAGTTGAAATATAAGCCTCTACCAGAGATTCTTCCTGGAAGATGTGGAACTTACTCTATTTAATGTCAAACAAGTGGTTTTTCTGTTGCATACTTTTCTTTTCATCTTTTTTACATAATGAACTTTAACCATAAAGAAAGTTAATGTATGAATATATAATTATAAAAATAAAAACCTATAAATATATTTTTCAAAAACAAAATTTTTTTTTTTAAAAAAAGGTGGAAATTGATAGGTAAGAAAATATTAAATCCGGGTCAAGTTGTTTGGCAGTCCCTTAACCTGGCGCTGCTTCAAAGTTTTATCATTTCTTGAGTTATTGACAGGCCGGAAATTAATTTTAAAATATTGAAGCAACGATATTTATAAAAAAATTTAAATAAGTAATTACTCAATACAAAATTTTCTTAATTCAGTAAATGAGTTTCTCAATCAATCAATTAGTTTTAATAATTTCAAACCCTAAGTACTGTACATGACTAAATGTTTTTTATAAAAATAATTTTGAGGGTAATCTCTAAGCTTCCCATAAGAGATTTCTGCAATTATTGAATTGTTAAATGGGGTTCATTATTTCTAAATCACAAATAAAAAAAGGACAAATAGTAAATTTTTAAACTATGCTGTTAATATGAATACCCTAAATTACTCACTTTAAAAAAAATTGTCAATTTAGTTTCTTCCCCTATAAAATCACGAAAAATCAACAAAATTTTAAACAATGAAAATTGTAGGCATAAGATGTTAGAAAGCTTTGTACATAATTAGTGGATAGTCCATGAATTGGTAACTTCAAAATTTTTTATTAACTGAAATAAATAAATGGTTTATAAATATTTCAGAGAGGCAAATGTATGACTACAAAGACACAAGTAAAAAATTTAGATCAGTGAATGACGCCTACACTTATTAGTTTCATTACTAAATAACAATGATAGAGATAATCAAATCATGTATTGTAAATGTTCTATAATCGAAAAATTGAGTTTGAAACGAGGGTATTGTTTTACAATAACTTTTACTGAAAACTATGAATTTTTTATCTTCAAATACATATTTAATTCAATTATTTATCTTTAACAAAATGTTAAAAAGATTATAGACAGTAAAAATAGAAAAGTAACACCTCTTTTTGTAGTGAATTTAAGCATTTCAAAATTGCAAAGGGGACATTTGTTTTAGATAAAAAAAAAATAGGACAAAGAGATCATCTATAGTTTGCCTAAACAGGGTGGCTATTCAAATCAGGTTTCAAATTTCCCTGATTCTTCCAGGTAAAAATCTTAAAATTTCCAGGTTAGCATGTTTTTTCTCTCCATAAAGTATAAGATGGATACAACAGAAGTACAAAAATTGTTGAGTATTTTATTTAAAATGATATTTTTTTCATATATCATATTGGAAAAATAATTAAAGTACATTTATTTTAACTTAGCAAGATTTTATTTTTTTCTCCAATTTTTAACGTTTTGATACAAGTTGGATGTGGTGAAATTAAGTTGGATGTGGAGAAAAAATGTTTAGCATAAAAAAAGTTTAATGTGAATGTAATTTTTGCACAAACTGCACCGAATGGTAAATACAGAGACACTAAAAATAAAAAAAAATTGACAAGTATTGTTTAATATATTTTCATTAGGTATGTAATGAATAGTGATTTGGCAGAATTGCTGAACACCGAATAGTCGGCCACACGAATCATCTGAATACCAAATATTTGGAGGCTGAATAGTAGCATTTTTCATTAAAAAAAAATCATTAATATATATTATTTTTTTATATATAAATAAGTGTAGTCATTTTTTAAAATTAATCAAAACTTAGCTATATTATTAGTGTGGGGTAAGGAGAAAAAATTATAAAAATTATCTATTAGAAATATTTAAGATAAATAAAAACTAACTAATAGCTACAAAAAAAACTGAAGTTGTAAAGTTGAATAAAAAAGAAACAGAGAAATGAGAAAAAATATTCTCTTAATTTTTAAGACAAAACTTTAATGCTGAAAATAGTATTTTCCGAAAAAAAAGTAAACATAAAACTTTAAAAGAAAAAAAGTCATTTTTTCTTTCATTAACTAATCACTCATTAACTAGACTCATTAACTAATCACTAACTCTATTTAATCTATTAAAACTTTGCTAAAAAATACTTGGCCGCATATTCGTCAAGCAGGTCAAATGTCGAATAGTAATTGAATATTTGTTGCATCCCTAATTTTCGTTTAACAAAAAAATAATTAATAAAAAACAATAATTTCAGGCATGAATAACTTTTTATATTTATTTACATTTTATATTGTATTTAATCCAAACAGTGCTCTTTGTAAAGTTCATTGATCATATTTTCTTTCAACCAATATCTAAAGTCAAATGTTTAAATAATGTTATTTTCAAGAATGATAAGCAGTATTAAAAAATTAATGTCACAAAGGCAAAATTGTCAACTTTCTTATTACATATCTCATAGAAAAAAACTAGATAAATTCCTTATACTTTATTCTTTTCGAATTTGAAATTAAGATATTTAAAGAATTCCTATCTAACTAAATGATTTTTTAGCTTAGATTAGTTAATTTTTTTGTTTGTTTCATTCTTGTTTTGTTTGTTTTCAGTTTCATTCTCCTTCTTCCTAATAATGACATACGAATAAAAAAAAAAGTTATATCCTCTGTTTATACAACATTTAACATGTTTCTCATACATTCCCTAATTTTTACCATTTTCTTAAGGTAAAAGGAGAAAGAGTTTAGGAAATATCATCTCTGGAAAAAGAGTAACATTAACAAACTTTCGACATTGTTATTACTATACAATGTCAAATTTTGAATTGGAGATTGTGAATCATATTTTAAATCAAAAGTCTTAATTTTGAATTAAAAACCAAATATTTACCAACAAAATGTTAATATAACCATGATAACATATGGTTGATCCTTAAAAGAACCTTTTTTTTAAAAATTAAAATATGTTATAAAATGTTAAAATGAAATCGAGAAAATTAGCATTAAAAATTATACGATTTGTTGACAAACATTGCTGTTAGTGATTGCAAGAAAATATGTGATTTGATTGGCTTTGCTGAGAAAAAATAATTCACTGATTTGGAAGGGGTACAAAAGCTTTTAGAAAAAGAGTATAACATAAAATCTATTTAATTATGACCAACCAATTTGTGATGAGTTTTATGAAATTAAAAATACTAAAACATTCTTAACCATTCAGTCAGAAGAAAGAAAAAAACTTAAAGCATCGGAACAAACGATAAATGGATTCAACCCATGGTTTAGAAGTGAAACAAATGCTACTTTTATAAACAGAAGTAAATGTCTCAACTCCTTCTTCAACCTCCACCACAATCTTTCCTAAACTGTCCCCAAAAAGGTTTCTCCATTCATTTAGCAATCATGAGTCTTATGTGGTATTCTAGTTTTCAAAGGGATTAATGGAGTAAATTTTGACGTATGCAAAATATTGCTAAGTTGATATTTCAACTGTTTGGCAATAAATTTCAGTTTAAAAAAAGTCAGTATAACAGATCATAAAATAATTTAAATTAAGAAAATCTATTAAAAAAAAATTCCAGCTTTTCTTTAAAATTCCCTGATTTTTCCAGGTTTTAATCGAAATTTCCTTGACTTTTCCAGGTTTGTTCCAGCACAAAAAAAATTCCCTGATAATTCCAGGTTTTCAAGTGGGTTGGCCACCCTGCTAAACTAAGAACTCCTCCTGCACACAAAGTCTGAGGCCATCTGGTGCTTTATGGAAAAAAGAATGGCACATTTTAGTAAGGGTAGCTTCACTCACTAACACAATAGATGGAAGAAAGAGACTCCCTTTCTCTTGTCAACCCGAGCCAAAACCACTCCAAAATAGTAACCCCTCACCCATACTTGAAATAGTCATACCTCGTTACGATAGTCACCGCCACAGGTCCAGACGAATGTCTGGGGGGAGTTCTTATTTTCGACAAATTATAGTTCATTTATTAACTAAAAAAAATAATAAATAAAAAAAAGGGGGGGAAATTTAAGACTTTTCTCATTCTTTAAAAAAATTATTATTTAGTTATGAGTTGGCTCTATGCTTTTTGCTTGACAATATTTCTTTTAATCCTATAATTTATCTTATTAAAAAAAAAAAAGACATTTTATTGATATATTGGTTCATCTTTACCTAGTCTCGATGCACTGGATTCCATTAGATGGAAGAGACGGAATTTTTGTTTCAAATCTGAAAAGTGTAACAAGTAAAAGTTTGATTTTAAAACACGTCAATGATAATTTTTTTAAAAAATGATTATAAAATACGGCGATTTTATTAGTGGTGGACCCTATATTAGGTATTCTTATTAATAACCAAACACATGATAATTTATTTTTATTTTAAACAATCCAAAACTGAAAAGTTTAAAAAAAAAAAAAAAGCTAAACATTTTTTTTTGTAATGAGATTTGTTATCTTATATAATTAAGAAAAAAAAAAGGAAATTTTACAAAGAAACATACAGAATAGTTTTATAAATAATTAACATTTAATTAAAATAGTCGATACACAAATGTTTATTTACAAGCACTAAAGAGACACAATTACTTCAAAATTTCTAGCTATTCTTTGCTTATCTAATTCTCGTTTTTTCCTTTACAATTGTCAGAAAATGAAAAAATGAGGACATCTTTAAAACCTCAATATGCATTTCAGACTGTTACCTGTTTCTTCACTATATTGACCTTTTTCATGAGCTCAGAAATAGAGTCTCCCCTGCAAGTAAAAACAAAGTCAGGTACATTCAAATATAAGAATACGTTACACATTTATGAACTTTGCAAACTAAAAAAATTATTTAAAGTAACAAAAAATGGGTATACAAAAATAGATAGTCATGAAAGTAAATTCATTTAAATGCAAAATATAAATTAAACACAGTGCAGCATTTTATAAAGAAAAATATTATATTATTTATATATCTAATTTAAAAATCAGACAGACAATTTTTTTTCAGTTTTTAGAGATCACAATTTAATTTCAGAAATATATTCATTATCATAAGGTGGAGTCATGGTATCTAAAGCTGTTGATGCTATTTAATTTGTAGAGTAGTTGCAGTTGTTTACGAAATAAATAAAATTTTAAAAAAAACTTGAAACCAGAAACTTCAAGTTGCAAACATTTTGCAGTTATAGTTATATATTGCAGTTAGCTAGTTCAGTTATTGACATATGTTGATTTTTTTAATACCAAAAATTGACATTTTGTAAAATATTTAAGCAATCATGTCTCCCCATAGCAGAAAGTGCTTGTATGTGAATCATTTGTCAGTAAAAATATCATTTAGTGAAGAAGGAAAAACTTCAAATAACTTTCTTTTAGCAGAAAAATCTACATACAGTACTAATGCAAAAAGAGACATGATTTCTTAACTGCTTCATAAAATGTAAATAGAAGATGAAATTGTGAACATAAATGCTATGACAATATAGAAATGAATGTAAAAAGTTAATTATCTGTAGTTGCTATGCTTCTTATAATCGATAATTTGCTTCATAGCACTTTTTAGTCTTTGGTAATGAAAACCAAACAAATTTTTTTCACTTTAAAAATCAAGTTCCTGAAGTATAAGTAGTACCTATTTCAGGGGTAATTGTGGCACAAAGTGAAAAACCCTGAAAATTTTATGTGTAAAAAATCAATATCAATTTATATATCTTTCATATTTAACATAATTCTTTATATTTATTATTTATAATTAAATTACCTTCTAATGCAAAATATATCACATCTATAGAGTAACTAATTCAAGAAGAAGCTTACTTCTAACAAGAATCGCAATATTAGATTAAAAAATTATTATAGCAGATTTAGATTTAAAAATTAATAAGCAATAGTATTGCAAATCAGGGTGAGTTTATATGCTTAGTAATATTCTTGCTATTGGACTTTAAATTCCTCCACTTTAATTATAACCGCTCCATACATAAACATTTTGGTCTCTGTAATTTGAAGAACATAATGTTACATAAAATCAACCATGTAATTCAATTGTTTTTTCAAGATTTCAAATTTTTTTCAGGATTTATATTAGATTTACTTACAACACACATTTGATAGGTTGTTAAGTAATTGCAAGATAGAGAATAAGAAATTTTCATTTATACAGAATCTTCACTTACTCTTTAGAAATCAGCTCTTTAATGTGCTTAGTTTGAACTTCAGTTAGAGTAAGATTGTTAAGATTTGATTTAGAACTGGAAGCTAATTCATCAGTTTCTTTCAACTTATCATTCTGAAGTTTGAGCTTTTTCTTAATCAAGTCTAAAGATGCTTTAAAGTCCTTCAATTTTTCTTCATAAGACAACAAAGTTGAATTCATGTTAATTTCTGCTTTTGATAGATGAGGAGAATTTTGTTGGAGTTTTTGGAGCACTGTCTCGATTCTGAAATGCACAATAAATCAGTTTAGTTATACTTTCAAATTTTAGAATAAAACAGACAAATACCAATTGAAGTTTTAAAAAAAAAGTGTTTACTGTTCATATATATATGTGTAGATATATATATATTTAAACAGTATTTTCGTTCCAAATCAATAAGAAAGGTTACATTATCTTATTTTTATTTTTTTCAACTTAAATGAGGATGTAAACAACCTTGTCATTGGGTTCCACTTTAAATTCTGCCTTATTTTTAAAATTGTTTTTGGACATTACAGATGCTCTTAAAACTAATAAACAAAAGTTTTTAACTAAAAAATACATATTATGCTAAAAAGGATAAATTATGTTGAAAATGTATATAGATATGCTAAAAAATATAAATTACCGAAAAATAACATAAAAGAATAAGAGAGACCGCTAGTGTGAAGATATTCTACAAAGACCCTCTGATATTCTAAGTGTATCTAAGTTAATACTTTATAAGGAAGGTTAAGTTAGTGGCATAAAATACCTTTCTTTTACACAAAGATTTAGTTTTGTTCTAGAACAAAAAATTATGAGACTTCACAGAAAAAAAAACTTTCTTTAAAATAAGTACAAACATTTGAAGCAAACAACATTAATATCTATGTTTGAAAAGCAAAATAAAACTTTGCAGATAACTTAAAAGAATTTAAAAAGTTTTTAAATGATATAAATCTTACATTGATTTTTGCCTTCCAATGTATCTATAAATTCTATTGAAATTTATAAATAGTATATCAATAAAAAATACACAAAATGTAGTTTAAAATTTTGCTAGTTGTGGAGCAAGTACAATGGTACAGACTACACAACATTAAGCGGCCAAATTCATAGTAATTATATCATAAATGAAAAAGGTAAATCCTAAACAAAAGGCATTTCATGTGTTTAAACTTAACATTTGTTATCCTGCCATTACAGTGCAAAGAAGTCATCGGCACAGTCAAGCATCTTCAAATCCGAATAACATATATGATGTTTGAACAAAATAAAAGGTATGGAATAATGTTTACGTAAAACCAAAAACTACCAGACAGCTGCACATATCAAACAAAAATGTTGAAAGAAATAACCTAAAGTATGAATTACTGCTAGATGACCCCCAATTAGATGAATTGGAAGGAAATTTTAAATTAATGAAAGTAACAAATTATGGGAATACAGAAACTGTTAATAAAGTGGAGAGATGTGTTGTGAAAGAGTGATGCAGTTTTGCGAAGTTAAGTTTGTATCAATATGATTATTAACTTACAAATGAAAGATTTAATAAACACTTTAATCAAATTAGCCAGCAATAGAGAAATGCTTATCTTGAAGATGAGAACACAACGAATGATTAAAATCTTTATAGCCTTCAATAGAACAGAGCGCACAGTCTGGAGAAAAAAACAACACCAATCGGTGTAAATGTTCATATAAAAAGTTAGGAGAAGTGGTGATTCTGAAATGTGTTGCCAAATATTTGGTGCTAACATTGGAATCTTGGCTTTGTCAAAATTAATTTTATATGTTTTAAAATTTGAGCTTTTACAAAGATTTTGTACATATTTAATTTAATTATACCTATTAAATAACTTTTGTTGGCTTGTTTTGGCTTCTTCATATTTCTCTGCAAGGCGTTCTGCCCCTATGCGAAGAGCTTCCTTTTCCTGTTGACTTCGAGCAATATCTCTCAGCTGATATTCTTTCTGCTGTACAAGAACTTTTATTCTATAACACAATTAGAATATATTTCAATTAGATAAATACCTTCGTACAAGCAAAGGCACAAATTTTTTTTCTTCATAAAAATACAATATTTTACAAGCAGACTGCATGATTAAGAATTATGGAAGAAGATTACAAGATATATTTTCTAGGGTATATAGTTGCTCTCTCACTTATAGCTTTGTTGATTTTGAGTAAATGGAGTCTAAAAGTCGGCTCCTAAATTCACACTTGAAAAGTAAATTTTGAAACTGGGTTATTTAAGGATAAAAAAAATTAATAATTAACAAGAAAAATAATTTATAATAATAATTTAAACATATATAAAGTTTAACTACCATCTTTTGCAATGAAATATAACTTAAATCATTAGAGTGTTTCTGAGAATGAAGTGTTTGAATCTGATTTCAGATAACACAAACCAAGTTTGGTTGAAACCAAATTAGGTATCTCAAACCAATGGTACTAACTCAAAATACATATTTAATACAGTAAAAAATATTTATTTTGGTTATAAAAAGATTTGGTTGGACTATAATACCTTTCCTGTCTTTGCATTCAGCTATATTAGTAAATTTCTTAAAAAAGAAAAAAGAATGTCATTTGTTAAATCAAATCAAATATGCAAAGATATTTGTCCAAACATGTTACCCATGTATAGGTTAAACCCCCAAATTGTAGTTAAATTAAGGGTTTCAGAAAGCCATATTATTCACCGAAAAGTACATTATACACGCCAAATCTAATTTAAATGTGAATATTTATGTCATATTGTCAGGATCCTGATTCCTCTCCCACGCATTGGATTGACCCCTTGACCTGAGGGTCAGAGGGTGAAGGACACTGGAGGTGTCGTCCCCTACCTTGGGGGTGGAGCAAATGACTTTTTCTTATGAGAAAGAATATTTTTAGAGATCAGATTAGTTTTGAACGCAGAAGAGTCGAGTTTTTAGTTGAACTATGATAGAAAAAGCATGAACGAAAAAGGGAGCAATAGCGCTCCGGAACATTATACTCTACAGCTTATGTATAATTTTGTAAATAATTATATTAATCCAGAATAATGAAATAAATAAGCTATAACTGAAATAATCCTTGGTCATCCTTATTGAGGAGTTCTTTAAAAACGAACCAAGAGACAAAATGTCTCACACATATTTTACAATATCTTAATGCTGTAACATGATTAAATTTTCCTTTTAAGATTTGGATTTAAAATTTGTAAGATTGATGTAGTGCTTTCTTCAATGATAAAGAATACCTAAGTTTGCTTATGAATAAAATAATTCAAGCTAGTTACTGATATTCTCCATTTTCTTTTCACCACAGTACAGAAAAATATTTAATTTAAAATAAAAAAAGAATGGTTAACCTTTGAAGCTAATGCAACAAAAATAGCTACCTGCTTCTTAACAATGCTTGAGCTGTATTAAGTTTTTGAATGTATTCTTCTCTATATCTTTGCGTAATTCCACACAAGAAGTCTAGCTGCTGCTGAGGAGAAGACAAAATGTGCCCAGATGTTGCCTGAGATTTTAAAAATGGACAACTTACAGAACGTGAAAGTGCCTTTTCAATAAGCTGCTCAAATGATGGTATTGAAGAGTTAACATCCTCTTCAGAATTGACAAAATTTTCAGATAATAGATGAGGAGGTGGTGAAAAATAAGAGCATCTAAAAAATTTCAGAAAAATTAGTCTGTTACCCATTCAATTAATATATTTAAGCAATTAAAATAAATTAAAAAAAACATATTGCAAGTACAACATACATACATACATACATACATACAAGGAGTGATCAAATGAAAAGGTATGAAACGACGTAAAAACGTAACAGTTAAATACTTGCACGTTCCGCCACGGGAGAACGTAGCGAGACATCTCGAAATGCGATTGGAGTCTCTGACTGGGATCGGAGCATGCGCAGGAGAGAGCAGAGGCTCTTATCAAAAGCGGGTCCAAATGATGCGGCAGTCCGTATGAGGAACAGAAACTCGTGCACAGAAAAACCATTAACTCCTATGTATACTGTGAGACAATCCGACGCCTACGCAGGTCCATTAAGAACAAAAGACCGGGCTGCTCACGGAGGGTGTGGTTGTGCTCCATGATAACGCGCGTCCACACGTCTCCAGAGTCACACACATGGAACTGGCCAAGTTCAAGTGGGAGACGTTGGACTATCAGCCCTACAGTCCGGACATGTCGCCCTGTGATTTCCACGTGTTTGCTCCACTGAAGAAACACTTGAAAGGGAAGCACTTCAACTCGGACGACGTAATCAAGGACGCTGTGAAGGCCTGGGTCTCGTCACGGCCACAGGAATTCTGGGAACAAGGAATCCTGCTGCTTGTTCATCAGTGGGATCGTTGTGCTCAGGTCTATGGCGTATATTTTGAATAAAGTCTACATTTGTACCTACCGAGTCATTTCGTACCTTTTCATTTGATCACCCCTAGTATATATATATATAGGACAATAAATAAATACAAAATATTTTAGATTTATTAATGATTTAATTATCTTTATTTTTCAAGATTATGAAATTTTATTAAATAATATTTACCCCCGAGGAATTAGTCTTGCTTTGTAATCATGATGATAATATTAATTTTAAATTTTGGGATTTGGGTATTATAAAGGAAGAATATATCTGCTTTTTTTATTTATACGATAAAGAAATGATTTAAATTTTAATATAAATAAACTAATTACTGGGAATTCTAAAGTTTCTAAAAACATCTATTTAAATACCATTTTTAATCAAATGAATAGAATTAATAGAAGATTTGGTAATGTTCATTTATCCAAAAAACAAATCGACAAACTCCTTCAAAATTTGATAAAAAATAACGGATTCCCAACTTAAGTTATTTAAAGTAATTGAGTTAATTGTATGTCATAATAAATAAATTCACTAAAAACTTAATTGTTAATTTATATACTTTTTACCATCTATTTCGGGCAAATATGTGGCTAAAATTATGGCAAAGCAGGCAATTCATGTTTCTTTCTTTCTCTCTCTCCCTTTTCATATTCTTAAATAAAAGTTAATTTTCTAAAATCATTAAAAGTGTATAATTAAATATCAACCTTATTCATTATAAACTTCTTTAAATTATCCAGTATAACATTACTTTGCGCACATCCATTTTTGGGCCAATTCTTGGTAACTAACAAATCAAACGCGCTTCAGTACTGCAGTCAGAATGCACTATGAAACAAAATCCCCCCATTTACGCTTTTACCTCAGTTTGCACTTCTGTTTTCATATTTTGTAATCTGGCAATTCTATTGCATTGATATATTTTGCTTTGGCTATATTGAAAAAAAATATTAGAAAGCACTCTTTTTTGCGGATATAATCGTGTGAGCTGATAAAGAAATTATAACCCCTCCAGATTTGTATTGAAATTTTTAAAATATAATTTTCTTCTTTTCTTTCTTTCTTAAGTTTAACCTTAAAGGGCACTTTCGTTTAATTTTTTTCTACTCATTATACAAAACACCCAGACACAAAATATAGTTATTCAAATTTAGAAAAATTTCTAGGGAATATTTTAGAAACATTAGGTTTTACATGGAAAGTTCTAACACTTATGTCTTATTTCAATATTTTGATCGTGGATATTTTTGAGAAAAAATGAGTTCAATTCTGCATCAAAAGCAATAAAATATTACTTGTAAAATTTGTTATTATTTACACTTACACTAAAGGAAAACAGAGGAATTCCCACGAAGCCAAAAGGCAAATCAAATTAACGCTGGCATCATTTACACTCACATCTAAACCTAGAACAGGTACTGACTCCATTTCAGATAAAGGCTTGGTACAGAGGATATGCTCCACTATGCAGGTTTGCTTTTCTTCTGAAGTGAGTAATTTTTCAAGTTTCTCTAAATAAAACAAATAAGAGTGATTTCAATACACAAATAAGATTTTCAAAATAACACTATTAAAGCAAATATTAAATAGGCAAAAAGCCACTTTAGAACTGAGAGATAAAATATTACTAGTTCCTAAATTTATTTACATAAAGATAACTTTTTGACAGAAAATAATTTCTTCTAATTTTTACATGGATTGAGGGATCACAATAGCATCATGGTTTAGACTCTGGCCTGTCAAAGTGCAGGACCAGGTTTCTATTCTCAAAGGTGCTTGAAATTTACATAGGTTCAGATCCATCGATACTAGTGTGTCTGAGAAGTAAATTCGAGCATAAAGCAATTCTGACCACATTGTCATTGTTTGTTGGCCTTGAAATTTCAGCAATTTAAACTCTGCAGCTCCCCATGCTGACAATGGGTTATTGTGGATAATTAAAAAAAAATTATTTACATAAGTACATTATTTGAATAAACATAATTTTCAAAAGAAAAAAAAAGTTTTTATAATTTTAACGTGGATTTTACGTGGACCACAATGGCGGAATGGTTTAGACTCTGACCTATCAAAGTACAAGACCAGGTTTCTATTCTCAAAGGTGGCTTGAAGTTTACATAGGTAGAGATCCATTGATACTAGTGTGCCTGAGAAGTAAATGCGAACATAAAGCAATTCTGACCACAGTGTCATTGCCACCATCATATTATTGGCCCTGAAATTTTAGAGCCTTAAACTTGGTTCTCAGTGCTGTTAACTGGCTGTTGTGGATTACTTTACTTACTTTTACTATTTAAGAGTATGAAGTAATAATAATAAAGAGATGATAAAAGCTGTCCACTAAAAATAAATAGTTATTTTATTTCCCATAAATAAGAAATAACAATTCAATTTATAAAAAGTAATATTTTAATAATTTCTAAAAAACTAATGCAACAAAATAGTAAAGTGATATACCTGTTTCAAGATATTCTTCAATAGTTTTAAGAAAGGGTACAGCAACAGAATGTAAGCCTGATATGTGAGTGCAGTGATATTTACACTGAGAAATCATATCTGGAAGAATGAAAGTTTTTATTATGAACTAATTTTGTACTCATAAGGGATACATATTTATATTGGGAAATGTGTACAATTAAATATGCTTTATTTTTTAATACATAATTTTAACCTTGTTTTAGTGATAAAACATTATTATTATAAAAATTAAGTTTAATCATATATTTAGCATAATTTGCAAATATTAATTAAATATACAATAAAACTACACACAAAAACTTTATACAATTATATTTTAGTTCTGCCCAAAAGGAGAAAAATCAGATGCTAAGCTTAATAATCAGGAAGAAAGGTTTAAATTGGAAATGATAACATTAAAAAAATTTTTTTTCACTTTTAATTGTCATTCATGGTGTTCTGAATTGTGCCCATTTAAAATATCTTTAAAAGACATTTATTACCATACCATCCTTAGAACTTCTCAAACAGATAAAACAATAATTGAAAATTGAACATAAAGTGTCATTCTTTGTTATCAATTTCTTTTTTTAAATATTAATTTTTTAGTTCATTTTATCTTTAATTTTCATGTGTTCTAAGTTATTTCTGCTAGTTATTTTCTCTCCCTTAGTTTTTTTTCTTTCTATTTTAAATCTGAGGTGGAAAAAAATCTGCAGATGCTGTGATAATATGCTATGTTCACTGTCTGTACTGGTATAGGTACTGTGTACCAAGTACTGTTCTAATCCCACATTTATTTTTTAACTTTTATCTACATACATGACTAATAAATACAGTTTTAGTAATAACTAATTATTAAATAAGCAAATCATAAATACCTTTATGTAATCTGATAGGATGGCTATAAACATCATCTTGCTCTTCAGATAACGTTAGAGGGAGTTCAACACTTTCAAACACATATAAAGAAATATCACAACTTTCAGAGGAATTTTCAAAGTCCCACGCATCAAACTAGAAAATAATAGAACAATTATAGAATAATGGAAAAATCGTAAAAAATATAAGCAAATTGGTTTAATTAATACTATGTTTAACACAATTACAGATATTTTTTTTAACTATTTTCAATATATATATATGTCTTTCTCATTGATAACCTGTGGCAATGCTGCTTAGCAAAAAAAGCAATGAAATAAATTATTATAATTTCATAACAAAAAAAACTTGACAATAATCAATAAAAGACAAATCTATGAAGTTTTCTTTTCTACAATAAAATTTCACTTCAGAGACAATCTTTTAAAACAAAATGGTCAAATTAGATTAAAGATATTTTCCGTGAAACTAGGCAAACTAATATGGGCTATATACCGCTTTCCCTCCTAAAGTTGTAAACTCAGGGTGCATAGCCAAATCATGCAACAAAAAATAAGCACTTTTTAAGTGCTTTTTAAGCACTATATCCATTAACAATAGCAAAATAATTTTCTAACACTTTACATGATCATGATAAATAACTAGTTCCTTACAAAGAACTCTTTTCTTGATTATATTAGACATTAAAAAAAATCTCACCGATCCAAGCTCAGTAAACCTGACAAATGATTGATGCTTTCATAAACTATATACCGAAAAACTCATTTCCAATAATAATAATAAAAACTCATTTTCGAAAAGGGAAAATTAAGCACTTTCTAAAAATACCCCATGAAAAAAGCACCTTTAAGAGCTTTTAAAAAATGAAAATCGAAAATAAGCATCTTTAAGGACTTTTTAAAAATGCTATGCCCCATGATATTTACTTAATAAGACAGGAACACTGCAATTCTAAGAACTCTTTTTAACTCCTTTAGATCAGACACCTCTATCTTATAAAAAATTTATTTATTACAGAGATAGCAAGCTTCTTTCACAGTGGATGAAACCTCCCCAAAAGAAATCAAACATGTGTTGAAAACTTTTTTTTATAGTAAAAAAATGTCAGGTGTAAATTAAAATTGTAATAAATTTTAATTGCAATTTAGTTCAAATAATACAGCATTAGTTTTCAAGTTATTATCAAGTTATAAAAAACTATTTAAAAATAAGTAAAAATTAAAAGTAAAAATTGAGAAGAAAAATAATTTTAAAAGAAAAAGAGAAAGAATACAAAATAAGATTAAATGTGCTTGGCTTGACTCATTTGAATGCTGGAGATTGGTCAGATTAATTTGCGTGCACATTGCTGAAAAAATAGTACAAAAATTATGGAAATTTAATTATCTGATAATCAAGTTTTTAAAAGAATATTTATTTTCATCCCTTTTTTTTTTTAAATGGAAGAAAAACAACTGCATGTAACTTAAAATGTTGAAATTTAAATAGCATACAGAGATAATTATTTTAAATGAAAAAAATAAATAAATGCTAATTATTTTAAAACCTTACCTTATTTTCATTATTCAATTTGAGAGTTTCAAGAACCAAACAATGATACATGATGCCGGAGCTAGTAGCTAATATGATGCATGGTGGAGTTGTGTGTAGGCAAAGAATATAGCAAGCATCATAGCCATAATTGTCTTCTGATTGAGGATACATAGTAAGTGGACCCATAACTTTGGGAAGTGCCTGGGATCTGTATTAAAAAAATAAAAAAAGATTTTAAAGAATTACTTTTCACGCTTACTAAACGTAAAATTCAAATAAAGGCAATTGCAGAATATGTCACATAAATTCAGTAAATATACATTAATATAATTCTACTTTAAGGCAGGGTTGACTTTTTGCAAGTAGAAACTGTTAATAACTAAAAGAAGTCTTCCTTAGTTCTAGTAACTATTAAACGACATTCATGCCAGTAAACTTAATGTAACTCCATTTAATAATCGTAAAAACTTAATATAATAATTAATAGTTAAAAGTTAAGTGTGAAGAAAAATCTTAAATTACAAGAGTGACATTTCTGAAGTAAAGCAATTGAATTGATAATTGTTGATATTGCTCTGTATTAGAAAGTTTTGGCTTGTAATCTTATTATAACATTAACATTTACATTAACATAACCTTTTTGTTTTTTATTACATTAAATTCTAAAATTCAACTATTTAGTTTTATTTTCTCAAGTCAGGATTTGCATGTCAATAGTCAACAATCCAATCATGTAAACATTAACACAGTCTTAATCTTCGCTGCATATAAGAAGCAATATAACTGGTTAGATTCCACTGACTCTCAAATGTTGTAACTTTTGATGTAAACAATGATAAATATAAATATCAACTAGTCTTTTGTTGGGTATATATTACTACAGAGTGCAAACAATGTAATATTTGATTAAGAATGTGATAATAATATAAATAATTTTTTGTTGATTTAATTGTTTTTCTTGTGCATTGTCAGTAGTATGTCAGTAATTACGTTCATGGTCATTTTCTGAGTTTCTGCCACAAAAGAGGCAGAAAGAAGTTTTTATTATGCCGTCTTAACCAGTCTCTGCCAGTGGTTTTAACTGCCATGGTAGAAATCTATCAATTCTATTTTAAGCAATTTTTTTACATAATAAAGATACTTTAATATTTTACAAGAATATCTATTTTAAAAGAAAATAAAAGGATCTGAATGTAATATCATATAATCAACAAATATATCTTAATTATTCTCGACTTTAAATTTACATAATTCAGCTTAAATATTAAATACCAAAATTTCATCATACTTTTAAAATATCATTAAAAAAAAACCCAGTTTCATTTTCTCACACTTGGTTCGAAGAAAAAAAGGATTACATAAATTATTTAAACAAGTAAAAAAGTGATGTAGTACATACTTATGTTGATGTAAAAAAATGTAAGTTAATATTAAAAATGTAAGTTAATGTTAAAAAATGATGTAAGATATATTAAAAAAAGTAAAAACTGAAATCATTCATATAAAGTAAAAAAGTAGTTAAAAAGATAACAAAATGTATTCTAATCCTGCAGTTTTTTGAAAAAATTTTCAGTGTCATAAAAAGTCATGTCATAAGTAAATGAAATAAATTATGTAAAAATAAATATTTCTAGTATAACTAAATGAATTATTTAGTGAAATAAACAAAGAACCAAAAAAAAAAACAACAACTTTAAAATAAGTCTTTAAAATATGCATAATACAGAAAAGTAATGAGTATCTGGGGAATCAGGTGGCATGACAACCACAACTAGAATAAAATATGTCACCTTTAATAGGTATCATTGTGTTGAAATTCCATTTCTTTATTAATTAATGCTTTTTAAATTTAAAAGAAAAAAAAAGAGTTTATTACCAAAATATAAACAAAGATTTATGATAATATATGCAGAATAGAAACATGTATCGATACAATATTGATAAACAGTGTCGTGAAGACAAAATGTTATGGGGGCAGATTCTCCTACAATGAACAAAATACTAACCTTTTCTGAAATTGCATTGACATGCAAAATTAGATTTAACTCTAAAATTAGGCAGCAAACAAACTGTATTCAGATTATAGTGACAGACAAAACATTGTGGGCTGGAATCATAAATTTTCACACATTTACATGCAAAAAACACATTTACATGCAAAAATAGATTACTTAAGTTCTAAATCCAGACAGCAGATTAACACACTCATGAGTTCCTTGTATATCAAAAATAATTTTTTTAAAAATTAAGTTTCTTTAATCAACTTACTTTTCTTTTTTCATTGGTGCTTTCACAACATAAATATCACCACTACTATGTAAGAGATATATAGGCCAAATAACTACTTTTTCTATACGATCAACAAGTTTTAATTTATTATAATATGGTATTTCAACTTCTTCAGAAGGTCCAAAATCAAAACTAATTGCATTTTCTCCAAAACATGTTGAAAAATTGATTTTTGATTCAGTTGTTAAAAAAGAACTTTTTGTGCTGCTTCCTAATGATATCACTTGTTGTGGAGCTTGGGGATCTGTGACATCATATATACTGAAATAGAAAAAAAATTTCACAAATATGTTAGATGCAAAATAACTTTGAACTTTTTTTTGTATGATTTTAATAGCAAAATTGCAAGAGTAATGAAATACAAAATATTTTTATAAGAAAATATGAATTTGAAAAAATGAAATTATAATATTCTTATGTAATTTTATTTTTAATTCTGTTACGCACAATGAAGAAAATAAATGAGTCACTAGGCTTGAAGGTTCAGTTGTAACTTCAGTAACTCAATATAGCTTTTGAAAATATACTATCAAAGAAGAGGGAGGACCTAATAAATTGAAACAAAGATAAATTTTACAGGAGAAAAAAAAATATACCAAAGGAAAAAGGGATTTCTTCAGACAATATCATTTGTAAAAACAATTTATTTAAAGATTCTGATTTTAGAATGATAGTGATATCTGCATAAAACTTTAGTTCACTCATTCATAAAATATAATTTACATATACTATAATATCCAGGAATTATGTGGCAAAAACTTAATACATAGTTGCTACTGAAACACCCATGATGAATATTCTTATATTACATAATTGTTTTTTAATTGCAGGCATATCATATTTATTCCTTCATTGGCATCATCCATAATAATAATAAAAAAAAAAGATGCTAAATTCAGAATTTCAAAATGTGTTAAAAGCATTAGGTTTTATTTACTGTGCATTAGGCATTACCATGTTTAAAAAGAAACTTACTGCTTGAAGTTAATGGTCGTGATGGGGGGTTTAGCAAGACATTTTTAAGTATTTGTTTTTTATTATTATTATTATTATTTTGTTTTCTGAAAAGTTTTTGCTTTAACTCTTATGTAACAATTTATCATTTCTGCGCAAATTAAATTATTGATTAACCTAAAAATAGGCATATTATATAACAAATGTCAAAACTATACCGGATATAGTTATCTGTACTAAGTACTGTGAGATGAGTGCTTGAACTGCTGCCTGGGTGCCAAGCAACTTGCACAACGCCAATTCTATTCGAACAGACAAAGAAAGTTTCTGCAATATTCCAAGACCTATAATACAAAAGAAACAAGGGAAAAATAAAGCATAACACAGTAATATGTTTATATATGTGAAATAAAAGCACTTATGACAACCCTGAAGTACAAAAAAAAATAAAAATAATAATCTTCCAGAAATCCAACAACGGTATACAGAAAAAATTAGAACACAAGTTTAGTAAATATAGAAGAAACAAGCAAAAAATCCACATTAACGGTTAAGTGATTTACACAAAAACTATAAAATATTCTTGAAAATAAGACCTTTAATATTTTATAATTAACTTTGGTGAACAAAAGTACATGATAGTTTTATCTAGCTCTCCTACAAATTTTTTCTGCAAATTGGCACTTAGTACGCAACATCGGTAGTTTTAGTTTCAGTTATGTTGCGCTAGAGCTGGAAATGGGTAATTAGTGATGATCTAGGATACATCTCCGAGGATGAACCGAAGATATGCCATCATAATTTTGGTCCTCTCCAGATGATGGCTTCCCCACTTTGGTAGCCTAATGACCAATGAGCGAAGCGGAGCAGTTTACTGCAGAATATTTTAAGAAGGATCCATACCTTGCATCTTTATATTTTGACAGGCTAATTAAAGTGGAGTACATAACATCTAATTTTTTTCTATCATATGTTGTTTTACACATTAAGATTATAAAAACACGATTTAAGAGGGCAATTGTAATGAATTATTTAGCCTTACTATAAATTATAATTGGCACTTAGTAGTACACAACTTAAGCTTCATGTTTTTGATTCTTTTCTACTTTAAATTAAACTATGTATTTACATTTATTTACAAAAAACAAATGAAAGTGTTTCCATACAGAGTTAATAAAATATGTTTAAAAAGTGTGAATGAATACTTTCAGCAAAAAAATATATATATTTTTTAAATAAATGGAGAAACAAGTTCACAAAAGTCACTCATGTTATCTTTCAAATAATCGGGGGGAAAACATATTTTGCAGATTGAACTATAGCAATAACTTCCAGATAAATGATATAATTTTTTTTTTTATCTTACGGCTATACTGAAGGTAAGAATAGTGATAAGATTTACAGTGCTGATTACCATGCCTTAAAGTGCATATGTGCAGAATTTGGAACAGATAAGTTTGGAATAGCAGATTTTTCTCAGCTATTTCAAAGACATAGCTTTATTATCTCCAAGACTCCAAGGTTACAATAATAAGGCAAATCATAGAGTTTTACTTTTTATGAGCCTGGTAGCAGAATTAGTGAGTTAATCTACAGCACATAACTTTGAATTTGTTTGCAATTCAGACTGAGATAAATATTCCAAATATTAGGCTTAATTTAACATTGAAAAGTTCATAATTAATAAATAAATAAATTATAGACAAAAATGTTACGTTGTTAAAAATTTATGGTAATTTATTTTGAATTTTACCTAATAAAAACTTTTAAGTAACAGGAATAAATTTCTATACAGTTCCTAGACAATCTATAATAAAATAATCACTTGGTTATTGTCTGTATAGAAAATTTTCAGTCTGTATAACTGTTTCAACTGTGTAAAAATTTTAGATGAAAAAAAATTATATTTTTTAAAGACAGCAATTTTTCTCCCTTTCCTATATTTATGCAGATTCTTCAGTATCAGACGTTAGAAGTTTTTTGAAAGTTCAGGAATTCAATGCACATATAAAAAGAGTAAGTTCAGCATATTATTTTTATTGCTTATTTATTTTTGAATAAGGGAAGAAAAAAATTATTTTTTGGAAATTTATTAATCATCATTGCCATGCTGCAGAATTTTTGCTATCAAGATCATAGATAATTTTCAAATTTATGGATATAAAGAATTTAGAAAAAAAAGCTAGATCTAGAATTTCAAGCTTCTTTAACAAATAATAAATTGTGTTTATAGTAACTGGCAGTGACATAAATTTGATGCCAAAAACATAAAACCCATTTTATTTTATTTTCCAAAAATATTTCAACTACATTATTTTCCATAACATAATAATGTTTCAAACAAAATTTATATTACACTTTTTGACTGGAAAGACAACACAGATGGAGACGGAAATAGTGAGATATGGAATTCACTTGGTATAAAGGTACTGAGAATGAAATGAAAGGTATTGGTAAAAATTGAAATCTAGATAGAGCACTTTTCTGACAACCATGTAAGGTAGAGAGGCACAACTGAGGCATTATGAAAAAAGAGGTTGAAAGAATAAACAAATTAGAAAATTTTTATAGGATTAAAATAGAAATAGATTACTTTGCACTTCAGCTAGTTAGGAATAGAGATATTGACTTTTGTTAGTCGGCAACAATGGGAAACAACTGTATTTTCAATCTTGTCATTTACCCAAACTTTGCACACAAATCAGTTGAGGTAGAATAAATGATAAGGACACAGCAAAGTCATACCTTCCAATTATATTATCCTCATCAGATCCAGGTGTACCAAATTTTCCGTATCTCCATGGAACCTCATAAATCATCACTCCATTTTTTCCACTCAATGCTAACAAACTCCCTGTTTGATTGAATAAAATCGATTCAACATCAAATATTGGTGGATTTGTCAAAGTAAGTTCCTGAAAAAGAAAATTAAACTGTAATTTAAAAATACTGTTAACTGATAGAAATTAATATGAAATAAAACATAGACAATATAAATCACACATTTAGATATTTAGTTAGAGTTGGTTAAGCTTAGGACACAACGTAAAATCTGCAGTAAAAACCATTCTAAAAATCTTCTAGTCCGCGTCTAAATTTTGTAAAAATTAACAACCTATCATTTAAGTAACAACCCATCATTACCTTAACAATCTATCATAGCCATTTCTTTGAAAACAGTTGAGAAGTATCTTTCTTCCGTTAAGAGTTAGGCTGACGAGCAGGGCACATCGACCAGAGGTCTATTGTACCCAAACCCTAAATCGTGATTAGCAAGAACACCCTATAGTTGAAATGAAGTTCAGCAAGCACCTTATAGGAACATCTTGCAGTTCCCAGGTATTGACGCAATGCTGCCCTAAATGCTCAAATCATTGAGCAGAATAGATATCACAATCACAGAGTATGTGTCGTGATGTCTCTTCTTCAAGATGACAACCCCGACAAAGAAAATTGGATTCTATTCCCATTATGTGCAGGTGTCTCCTGAGGATGCAGTGACCAGTAAGAAGACCCATGATTTTCCTTAAACTGTTTCTATTAAGCTTTAAGAGCTCCTTTTGACGTACACTAGGACAGTCATGATTCAGCTCCTTAGCTTGTCTCTGACCGTCAGCAACGCGCCATTGCTCATGGGCAACCTTGCTGTAGAGCTTGAAAATGGATGCCCTAAATGAGGTGGGAGAAATCCCCAGCGCAGGTTCAGGGCCTCAGAAGATTCTGTTAAGAGTTGAATTTACATCATTTGTTTCAAACTGTCCAAAATTTTGTATGCACATAGCTGAACAGTGACAAAAACTATACAGCATTATACCAAACAAGCACCTTAAATTGCTCAAATGCTCCCTGCAATTTCTAACACGTTTGGACAAGCAATAAATACCGAATGAGCAGCTCCACCCACTTACAGTTTCTTAAGCAGATATTTTTTAACACAATTGTGTCAAACTGAAATTTAAAAAAAAAAAAAAATGCCTTGGGGCAAATTGAAAATGGGAGAAAGAGGGTGGGGGAAAAACAGTTTAGCGTTAAGGTGAGACACATTGCTTTCTTTTTCTGGGAAGTGATGATAGCATGTCTCATTATTGGTCAATAATGTTAAGTTAGAGGGAGAAAAAAGAAGGGGAAAGGAGCAGTTTAAAGAAGAGAAAGAGCTTTGGTTTCTTAGAATTATTTAAGAAGAATGAGAAAAAACTTGTTTAACAGGACGGTGCATATTTTATTCTTTATTTCAATGAAGAGAAAATGGCTTGTTTAATTCATTCCTGGTTAATGAGATTGATGGAGAGAAAAAGGATGGGTGAATGAGGAGTAGAAAGTCCAGAAATAACTTTATTTTCCTTGAATTATACCAGGTCATAAAAAAAAACTGGTTTTGGGTAGTTTTGCCTTTTAGGAAAGCAAAGATTTTTTTTCTTTTCTTTAAATTCACGGCTTGTGATGCAAATGGAGCAAACTAGGAAACCAACATATTGATTTTGATTTTTCTGATTAAATTTTCTTGTTCCATTAGTTCCTAAGGTTGAAGTCTATCGGGACACATTTAAACCAACAATAAAAGTAGAGTTACAGCCCCTGTATGAAAAACGTCAGTTATTTTAAAATATTATTTTGTAAGATGCAATTTGTTTAGACATTTTATTTCAAAATACCATGTATATAAACATAATATGCATAATTTATTTTGTGTTAAAGTTTAAGAAATTAAAATCAAGCTACTAGAATTTACAATTGAAGAGTTTCCTAATTGATATTTAGTTAAGACAATTTTATTACAATTTAAAATTTATTTTCCAATAACTAAAAGAAACTTTTATAGTTATCCACATAATATATATTTATAAAGTAAAAACTTTACAATGGAAGTACATTAATCACAGAATTGTTCATTGTAATATAGGCAAATAAATGCAGATTGTATGTTATCAAATACTAGAAGTTTTTGACAGTTAACCTTTTTATCTACTTTTAACCATTATGACAAAAAAAAAAACCTTTTTGGCATAGTTTTTGACAATTCCAAAATTTTAGTGGGAAAAACAATTATTAGCTATAATAAATATGAATCATTTATAAGTAAAAGTTACAAAATTACAAGTTATCAATAGATTATGTCTTGACAATTACTGTCAAAAACTAAAATTTTGGCATATAAGCTATTAAATAATTATAAATAAAAATGTTTGACATTGTAATTTATCCAATCTGTTAATTAGATCAACTATTTAAAATAAAATACCAAAACAATCATATATATATAAAAAACTAACCAATCACCTTCATTATGTGTAAAATCAATTTTGATTCATTCCCATTTTAACTCCTTAGAAAGCACGAAATTACAAACAAAAAAAAATAGTTTTAAAGACCTGTGTACTGCTAGTTTATTTTTCAACCAAAATTATTATAGCATTCTAAAATAATATGCAATTATGATATTTATTCTAATAACCAAGCTAAATATTGTAAATTCTTGAGGTGATTAATAGAAAAAAACTAACACATTTAAATAAACATTTATATTTTTTATAAATTTAAATTAATTTTATTACTGAGGAATATATCAATTGCAATATTTATTGGCAATCTTCATGTACATATACGTGTCAACCACAAATATTGAGAGTAAAAAAAATAATTCTTAAGTAGAGATCAGACAATTAGTGGCATCTACTTTAGTTTTAATTATTCCAAAAAATTCGATCAAGCTATGGCATAAAAGAATTAAAAATCAATATTTTTAGATTGATAATGACTAGGACTGCAGGTTTGTCGCGGTGCGAATTTCCGCGAAATAGTCATCTTTTTTCCTAAAATTCGTGAATTTCTCAATATGTCTTGACTTGCGTGAAAATTGCTTAAAACTTGATTTTTTTTTCGTTTTTTATTTATTATTCTTATTAAACAGAATTTTTTATTTTCTTGAACCTTAAATTGAACATGTATAAGATAGATATTCAGGGGAGTGAATCAATAGCAAAATGATATGAAAATAGTTCAGAGATAATCACTATCTTGTCAACTAAGGTGGTCTTTCTACACTTAGGGAGGGTAATTACCTTCTTGAAGTCAGTAAGAGTACAAAAGAAATTGGAATCACAAAAGAAGGAAAATGTTATAAATCAAATCTTTGACAGAAAAATTATTATACATGCTATAGCACTGGCCAATGAAATTTCTACTGCCTTTCTACATCGTTAATTTTTCCCAGGCGGCTTCTTCTGATTTCTTAAATATGGATCAGTTTCTTAGATAGAGGGACTTGTAACTAGTAGTTTGTATGTAGAATGTTTGAGTTTTCACAGCAATTACTTCTTACAAAGCAACGGTCAAGGAATTCCGCGTTGGTGAAGGAAAATTGATCGAGTTTTGGAACTCAAAGACCGAACGCTCAAAAATTGGCAATTCAAAGTTTGTTGGTGCCTAAAAACACCGTTGACGCAGAAAGATCGTTTTCTAAGTATAAAAATGTATTAAGTGATGAAGGATAAATGAGAATAATCTGACAATGTACAATACTTTGTACCAAAATTTTGTTCATTTAAATAAAAATATTAATATTGCTTGAAATTCAAATAAATACTTTTGTTGTGTATTTTTAAGCTTTTTTTTATTATTTGTGAAATTTCTGTCTTTTGCATCATTTACATAATACATTTTTTTATGTTTAGAATTTGTGTAATTTTCAAGATTTCCCACGACAAACTTGCAGCCCTAATAATGACAGATAACAATTCATAGATAGTACCAGCAATAAACTGAATAGTACCTAATAATGTAGAAAATAACATATTGATCTTAAAGTATTAATAGTACCATGTTTTTCAAAGAAAACTAGTAAATAATTTTGGCAACATGTTTAATTTATGATATGCATATCGTAAATAAAATAGAAAGAAAATATATATATATGTATGTATAACAGAAAGAAACCAACACTAAGGGTATAATTTAGTCACCCCCTAACGTTTTTTGAAGCCTTGGCGTTTGAAGTTGCAAAGACAGATCACGATATGGTAACATCCTTTAAAATAATTATAACAGCTCCTGGAAAGACAACATTAACTTAAAATGCTACGTAACTGCATCATGAAGATCTAAAACTCATCCATCTGGATTTTAGATAGATTTCTTGTACATAGAAAATGCATAGATAAATATATATACATATCTTCTATAGTACTTTAGTAAAGTGAGTAAAAATTAAAAGAATCGTAACTCGAATTTCAGCTATTATTTACAACTCAAGGATAATCTCTGGAAATTTCAGTATAACTTGAATTAAATTATTTTTAAGCCGGCCAGGTGGCCGAGCGGTTAGCGTGCCTGACTGCAAAGCCATAGGCTGCGGGTTCGAATCCCGCTCTAGGCATGGATGTTTCTCTCTCTCTCTGTTGTGAGTGTGAATGTGGCCCACCCTACAAACGGGTTTGTGGCGTGGGCAATTTTGCTCGCCTCCGTGACTTTGGTTCACAGGTGCCCACTGGGTAACGCGAAATGAGCAACAATTCTGGCATAGTATAGGCAAAGATTCAAATTCAGTGCCTGCCATTGGAAAAAAAAATTATTTTTATTATTTAATAATTACAGTGACTACTTAAACAGTTAATCATCTTACTTTCACTTTATTTTCGTGATTTTCTTTGGAATTTAACTGAACAGTCAAAATACAGGATCCGTTGTCATGCCAAACAAACGCATACTGTTCGTAAATAGCAAATAAGTTTTTAGACTCCTTTACATTGTTATATTTCGTTTTATTCATACTCAACTTTTCAAGCATTACATTGCTTATAATATTCTGATTAATCATAGCTGTCATTTTTACATAAATGAATCAATATTCAGCTAACTACCAAATTACTACTGAGTTTTGAGTTGTGTGGTAATTACATAAAGTTAAACGTCTTTACCTACTTATTTCTGCATTTTTAAATACATAATAATATCCACTTTTTTAAGCAATTCACAAAGCTTAAGTACACGTGCAGAAACAGGCAGCTAGAAGTATATCAATTGAATTAGCGTGATTGGTCCTTGGCTATTTTGGCGCTCAAACTGACCCACTTCTAACAATAAATAAGCATGTTCTCAAAAAACATGGCACTATGTTATAAGATAATATATTATCTATGTTATAAAATAATATTTTATCCCGCATTTTAATCTTGTGTGTTTTATTATTGGAAACGTTTTAAAAAAAATTTTCAGTCCTAAACTTTTTCGTAGTAAATCATCGAAATGTTTGACATGAACTCCAAAGACGCTTTTTCTCCTGAAAGCGGTCAGATTGATCAATTTCTTGATAATGGATCTCTTGTAAGCCTAGATATAGCTATTGAACCAGTAAAAAAAAATCTTTGTGAACTGTGCAATAAATATTTTTCTCGTTCATCCAATCTAAAGAGACACATTAGAATTGTTCATTTCGGGGTTAAGAAGTTTGAATGTCATTTTCATAATAAAAAATATCCAAGATCTAACTATCTTAAAACTCATAAAATGTTTGATTGTGCTGAAAACACATTTCCCCTGAAATCTGAAAGAAGAAGATCTGGGTTAAGATCTGGCAATCGCTGTAGTTTATTACAAAGCGAGATCTTGGGTACTTGTACAAGCAAAACAAATCTGCTTGACAATGCTGGCAGTCAAACCTTAATGAATTTAAATACATCAAAGCCTCAGCTTGAATCATCTGATAAAGAACAACCAATAAAGAATAAATTAGGTGATTTCAAACAGACAGAGAATATGTTGGGTAATAAAGACAATTCTGGAATTAAAAGTTCTACACAAAACAAAGCAGTGAAAGTATCTAATGATTCATGTACCAGCATTTGGTTTATGAGTGGTTTTAAAAATGGAAAAGCTGCTAATGGCACAAAAGAAATTATGTGTAAAATATGCAAGAAGATTTTTAATCGAAATGAAGATTTTTTAAATCACTTTCACACAACTGAGAAAGGTTCACAATGTTATGTGTGCAAATTTTGTCAGAAATCTTTTACCGAGTTAAACCATTTGAAAAGTCATGAAAAGATACATATTGTAGAAGTTCACAAATCTTTACCTCTCAACCAAACTAATTTAAAGGAACAAAAAAGGCACAAATGCGAAACTTGTGGGAAGACATTTCCTCGGATAGGTAAATTAAAACTGCATATTGGTGGCCATACTAAAGTAGTTAGAAAACAATATACTTGTATTTTCTGTGAGAAAAAATTCAACATAAAATTATCATTAGACAAGCATTATTTAACTCATACTGGTGAAAAACCGCATGTCTGTGATGTATGTGGTCATAGTACAGCTTTTAGGTCTGAACTTACTCAGCATATGCGCATTCATACGGGTGAAAAACCATATAAATGTAACGTTTGTGATAAATCCTTTCGTACTAAATCTACTGTTAAGAAACATTTGCGTACTCATACTAAAGAGAAACCTTTTATATGTGATATATGTAACAGAGCATTTACTCGTAGAGGTTCTCTTAATGAGCATTATTTAATTCATACTGGGGAACGACCTTGTGAATGTAAAATTTGTGGAAAGATTTTTAATTACAATTACAACTTAAAGACCCATTATTTAACTCATACCAAGGAGAAAAAATATTTTTGTGAAACATGCAACAGAGGTTTTTCTGCAAAGTTCAAATTAAGGGAACATATTTATGACCATACTGGCGAAAAGCCATATTTATGTGACTATGGCGGCTGTGGAAAAACTTTTAAAACAAATTTTCTTCGATACAGACATTCATTTATTCATACTGGGCTTCAACCACATATCTGTGCTATTTGTAAAAGAGGTTTTAATCAAAAATGTTCATTAATTCGTCATTATGTTGTTCATACTAAAGAAAAGCCCTATTCCTGTGACGTATGTAATCAAGCGTTTACTCAAAAGTCTTATCTTTCATCTCATAGGCGTAAAAAGCATATTTAAAGAATTATTAATTGCATATATCTGTGAAAGCAGACACAATGAAGCACTAATGTTTTTTTTTTTTTTATATCAAGCACCCAATAAAAATTATGATTGCAATTTTTTACATTTGTTGTAGTCATGTACAGTCCGCAAAAAAAAAAAAAGAAATCACCCTGAATAACTTTCGTTCTTATGATCGGATTTTCACGAACTAAGTATCAATCTTAATGGTTCCTGGGGGTGACCTCAAATATGCTAATTAATTAGTGCTAACTATTAATTAAGTTACGAAATCAGACACAAAAACGTACTTTCTCTGAATAAACATATATATTTTCTTACATATTTGGAATCTAGGCACTTGAATTAGGGGGGGTTGACAAAATTTTAAAAAAAGTGGGTCGTAAATTGGGTTGCAATAAAGGCTTATATATTTGGCGATAGTCCAGAAAACGACCAAAAAAAAGTCGCCTGCTCAAATGAATATTTTAAGATAACCCATTGACTAATTCAAAAGAGTAATGATTAATTTTACTAGGTTGCTAGGGAACCAATCTCTGACAGTCAAAAAATTTAAATAATTTTTTGTGACAGCTCAGAGAGGTTTAATTGTTAATAGAAAACATCTCGAAGTTTCTAGGCAATAGACAATTTTTAAGTTGATTTTTTTTTCTGTCCCAAAAGCAGAAAAAAAAATTAATTTAATCTCCTTTAAAAAGAAAATTTGAATCGATTTATAAATTATTTATGATTTTGAATTTAAATGCATGAACTTTTTATCTGATATTATTTAGATTATGTTATTTTTGCTGAAATCAAATTAAAATTAACATAACTTATAATAGCTATATACAAAATTTTAGGGATAATAATTTTTCAGCTTTAATCGAGTCTTCTAGGCATGAAAGCTTGAAGAAAAAAAAGTGCCTGAAAAATAAAATGTAGATTGTATAGTAATTCTAATGCACATTCACAAGGTTTTCTATAATTTACGATATTTCTTTTTTCTATAACTCAAGGAATTGCTGAATGTTTAGTGGCATTTTGAAAACATTGAAGTATATTATGTTTAAGAATAAGATACTGAAGTAATATGTTGCATATTGTATGATTCATTGTTTAAAAAATTGCTTCATTATGCTAGATATTTACGTTACATGGTTTTCTTTAGATAAAGATGATTAGCAAATAGCATCCTCATGTTTCGATACATTCTGAAACTTGCGTTCGCAAATTCACCATAAAATGTCGCACATCACATTCTTCAATTGTGATAAGCTACATTTACCACCAAATACTGCTACTATGATTATTTTTGTTTTCTAATGTATATCTGATACTCTCTTTTTAAACAGAGCTCGTAAGATCCTTAAGATACTGAAATGGGGGCTCAAAATCCTAAAAGATAAAATATTTAATTTACTCAAAATATCTGATCTCAAAATTTTAATTTAAGTTAAATACAACTTTTACAATATTGATGGTCCTACGTTTTTAAAGACCACGTGAATCCTGTTAAAATATCAAAATTCATGTGTTTACTTTAACGAGTAAAAAATCCTTTTTAAAATAATGATCAAGACCCAAATGTAAAACAGTATAATTGAAGATAAAATCTCAACTGGCTTCAGAACATATGAAGAGGGAACTAAAAGTCAACATGTTTCGAGCGTTCTAATATAATCGCCCATTCTCAAGACATGTCAGGCTGGAATAACTTGTGACTTTTATTATTGGACGCTCAAAACATGTCTATTTTTATTATCATTTATTATTTTTTTTTAATCAATGAAGTTTTTATATTTTCGATTCAGTTTCTTGGGATTATCCACCTAGTTACACAGCATATTAAATTATTTCACTCGATATTAAAAAATTTTTTACATAAGTTATAGGCACAGGTTCTTAGATTGAAAAAAATAATAATTCACTACTTCGTAAAAAAATCAATGCAGTAAAATTTTTTTGTTGTTTCTTTTGTTGCAAGCCTTAACATTTTAATTTAAGGACATAAAAAAAATCCGTTTACAATTTTTTATTCAATAAAATGTTTTATTCAAATTTCTTTACTGAATTGCTAATCGGTTTTTAGACGACTAAAAAAGAAACATCGTATTTTATAGCTTAAAAAAATAAAAGGATTGGCAAACGATTATTAGCTAAAAAAAATATGAGTGAAATTTTATGCTACGCGCGCGAAGTCAAGTTCCTCGCAAGTTTATCACATTTTACTATTAATCGCCCCATTTAATTATTTCTTTATTGTCGCCAAATAATTTTTTTAAAAATAATTAATTTTAATTTTTCTCAGCTTCTAATAAATAAAAACAGTTGAAACTTTAGATTTTACAATTGAAAAATATGTAGATTAATATGGTATAAAAAAATTCTTACCTTATAATTCAAAATGTTTTCATCCTCAATTTAGTTAAATAATAAAAAATAATTAACAATTATTAAAAATTATTTTTTTCATGAAATTATCTTTGGGTTATTTTTCTTTGAATTGCTTTATTAGTTTTAAAAATATGACTAAAAGCATAAAAAGTAAAATTAACATTAAGGGGTACGAACTTTGTATCGCTCTCCTGATCAAATTATGGGGACCATATATTTTGAAGGTTAAGAATCCAAATATGTAAAAAAAAATATATGTTTATTCAGAGAAAGTACGTTTTTGTGTCTGATTTCATAACTTAATTAATATGTAGCACTAATTAATTAGCATATTTGAGGTCACCCACAGGAACCATTAAGATTAACACTTAGTTTGTGAATCATTAGAAAGTTAGTTGATCATTAGAACGAAAGTTATTCAGGGTGATATATATTTTTTTTTTGCTGACTGTACATGGATGATAGTTGTTCTCTAGATGCCATTAAAGGAATAGTTGGGGATACTTCAATCTCATGATCTGTTGCGCCAACTACAATCGCCAAGTTGCCAAATAGATTTTACACTTGAAAGTATTTTTTAAAAAACGTGTAGATGTTTTCCCTGGGGTGGTTACGAGTTATACCTTTCGAGTTAGTCCCTTTCTGTGTGTTTTTTTTAGTTTTGCGAGTCACTGCCCGGAAGTTTCCAAGACTTGCCGATTATTCTGCCACAGATCACGATACGAAAAATCACGCCGTATGGTTGACTATAGCCACCAGCTCTGGCGTCATAAAGAATCTCCCGAAGAGGCAGCATACCGAGCATTTGTTACATTTAAAATTGTTTATTTATAAATATTGTCAGGCTGGAATAGCCTGGTTGGCAGAGCGCTGGACTCATGTTTGTAAGAACGGGAGTTTGAATCAAGTTGGCCAGACTCTGTGTAGTAAATAGTGACTGATGCATGTTAAATCTGTCGGGTCACTAAGTCCTCTTATTTCCTATAACAAATCCATACCTCTGAGGGTACTGAATTGGATATTGATCGTTCTCTAGTTCAGGTCAAAATTACGATCTGTGGATGACTGAATGGATGTATGAATAGGTCAGCCCTATAAACGGGTGTGACAGAAATCAAATTGTTGGCCATAAATTGTACCACTGGGAAACAAGAACAATCGCACTCTCTCTGCCCGCACTCTTAATGGCTGACCGCAACATAAATATTGTCTTTTTTTGTAGTATGAATATATATTTATACAATATTGTTTAAAATTGAAATGTTTTTTGAAAAAGTATTTACAAGTTAGTGTATTTTTATAATAAAATTTTGATTGTAATGTAGTGGTTATGTATGAAAATTAGAATATTTTGAAATAAAATATTTCCAAAAAAAATTACTTAATTTTATTTAAATGTTTTGTGTAGTGATTATAAAATCTGCTAGTTTTTTACTATATATATTAATTCTGTTTTGAGAAAAATGGTTCATAATATTTATATGTGAGATTTAATTTTAATAAAATAATATTTGGTTGAATTTAAACTTCTTTGATTTAAAATAGATTACATTTTTTCCTAAATTATTTTTAAGTTAATTTTAACTAAATTCAAAGCTCATCGTAAAATAAGCCTTTGTTTAATAAGTGTTTAGCACTAGATCAATATACGTTTTAAGATTAAGTTGTTTTATGTTTAAGGACTAGTGTTGTTGGAAGGTATCTCGTCTGTATTATACTCGTATATTAATTATAGTTAACTTTCGAATGTGAAACATGAATTTTTCTTTTTTGTTTTAAAAACAACTTCAGTAATAACAAATGCATGGAAATATTTAAAATTAATTTAGAAAACTATGTTGCAATTTTTGTTAAAAATAATTATTAAAACTGCTACCTTCTACGCTTTTTACAACTGACTTGAAAACTGTTATTTCATTCATCACGGTATTTTTTGTTATATTATAAATTAAATCTTGGTTGATAGTGTCTTTAACTGCAATTTAAATAGACATAAATGTAAAGGCAACCAATGTCTCCAATTTAAATTATATAATTTTTTTAAGTAAATATGAATTTTAAAAATTAGAGTAATTTAATTTACAATTTAAATAAAATAATTAAGAAAGCTGCTTGATGATTAATATGATAATTGCTGATTATATATATATATATATATAGACAAACCTATAATAACAAATTTTAGGAAATTTATTTGTAAGATTAAAAATTCATAATAATGTTATTTACAAATTTTGATGAACTGTGACTTGCAAAATATAAATATTAATAACTTGAATTTTGCTATTTAATTGTGTAAGAGTTCTAAAAACATATACAACACTTTAAAAAAAATAATGAATGTTTTTCTTACTTGTTTTAAGGCAAACTTGTGATTTGTTTTCTTTTGTACTAAAATATTAAGTCATGGAAAAGTAAGTTTTCTTCCCCAAATAATTTTTTTTTTTTTCATATTAACCTATGTTAATTTATTAGTTTACTTTCGTTACAGATTTAAACTGTAAAAATTTGAAGACTATTATTAACAATCAACTGCAGACATTTTTTACAATTTTAATGTAATTATTTAATGCAATTTATATTGTTAAGCAATGGAATGCAAAAAATGTTAACAGTTTACATACTGATGCAATTTTTCATATCATGTAGTCTGCCAGTCGACTTTTATTCCTAAAATCATCTTTCTAAACTTGTGAAGAAAATATTTCTACTCTAGTATTAAAAATAGCAATAAAATTTTCTTGAGAG